CATATAAAATATTATAAATATGAAGCGAAGCAAACAATGAAATTAGCAGTCGATTTGATGTTCAACAAAAGAATTGATCCGACAACAAAAAGGTGTTAATGTGGAAGTGGGGGACATTACACGGTGCGTTGAGGAACTATACAGGGGGCTCACTAACATATATATAGAATATTAAACGATTAGGTTAAATATATATATAGTGTTAGTTTATATAGGTGTTCATTACACGAGACCTAACCTCGCCAAGATCTTAATTACATATTAAGTCTAGTCTCACTCCACTCCCTCGCTCACTCGGCAAATACTTCACAGCTTTCCGTCAGTTAAGACAATTAATTAGATTGTTGAGTCTTTGTAATTCACTGAGAATACTAAAACTAGAATCAACTCTTAGTAATATAGAACACCCTGTATATAAATATTCCACACATATTCTCGAAGCGCATCAAACCGTGAAATGTCTCGCTTATTTCGGTTAATACAATATAGTACACAACCGCACAATTAACACATTCAATAATTTAATCTATTACCGACTCTATTACAATATCTTAAGACTCATAATCGCTCGTTGTGTTTGTGTGTTCATACTATAATCTCTCCTGAATTAAACAGCAGGAGGTTAGGTTAGGTTTAAAAGATTATAACGCATTACTGTAATCCTGTTCATAATAACATTTAATACGTCTCATACTTGATTATAATATTTATTATTGGTGTTCCTCACTAACATATTGAAATGTATTTGAATCATTACCTTCTGTACACACACACGCACACACACACACACACACACACACACACACGCACACACAATATATGTATATATGACATGAGACTTCATTTGTTATAAGTCGATGAGAATTTACATCTGAGGAAATAATAAAGAAAATGCATTCATCTTCCTGAGACTACTTGTGAACCAAAACATAAGACGTGGCGGAGATATAAAATGTGTTTGATTTACATTAATTAATTATTATATAACAAACACGTATATACATGGTGTTCATATATTGTTATTAAGTATTTGAGCTTGGACAGTGGAGGATAGAATCTAACGCGCGTTAGATAGGGTCCCTTAAACCTACACCTGGGTCGCAAGTCACAGTCACTGTTGAAGCTCCTCTCAATACAACGATGGACCCGACACACGCACCGTGAATACATTGAATGATGAGAGGTTTCGTCTCTCATCTATATACTTTGTTATGAGTCGCATAGGTAGATACAATATATTAATTAGTCCAACCTAGTTCTCTGCCTCCTGTCTCTGCCTCTGTTCCCTCCCCCGTCCATCCTCCTCATCACACAATGAACGTCCTTAACTTCATTAAGTTTTCCATTTCCAGTCATCTCTCGTCTTTCTGCCTCTCAATTACATTTAGTCTTCAATTAGACACCTGATAACTTCCACAGTCGATGTTATTAAACATTTAATCGTTTTAATAGAACAGAAACAATATTCGTATTCTTTTATTTTTCTTATAATATTCTCAGTAGATGTTTTATTCTGAGACGTCACTAATCTGTAGCGAGGAGCCGCCAAATGTTAATAATCTTCAAGAGCACGTCACAATAGACTCTCGCCGTGTGTTACACAATACTTTGAAGAGCCGCTCGTTTGAGTTCATACAAATATATCAGTTTCTTAATTTATTTGTCATCTAAATCCTTTGCACAAGCGACAACACGAAGCCGCGGACCGACTTATTGTTGCGCTCCTATTGTTAATGTTAAACGAATTCAAATCTTACTGGTTTGTAATAAGGTTGATCGATATTAAACCAGAAGCTCATTAAACATTTTTTTCAGTGTTAAAAACTATATTTGTATAGAACCTCAACATCAACATACGGTGTTTTTATTTTCGGTTGCCTTTGTTAATAGTGAGATGTATTATTAACTATTTAGAGTCCAAAATCAATTGACATTTTGTTAGTTAAGTTGTCGTTCATTGTGTCTCCATCATTAAGAGGTGTTAGATTTGACACAAAGCGATTTTTTCCGCTAAGGTTTGCGCAAAATCTTAAGAAGTGTTTTGTAAACGTTGAGATGAAGTGATCTGAAGATTAACGAATACTGTGATACTATACGCCTTGAGTGTCACCTACGAGATTAGGAGAACATTGAATAAAAAACATACACACACATTGACACACACACATACTAAGGTACTTCAGAAAAGAAATGTTGTTGAGTGTTTGAGAGTATCTGTATTATGTTTATGTGAATTAACAAGTCCAAGAAAATAAAACTTTGAGTAAGGATGAAAAGAATATATTGAAGACCTAAAATTCCTATATTAAAACTACAGAGTCCCTTCTACTAGCTGTTCTGACTGATGATGAAAGAAGACATTGTTGAATGGAGAATCCGCGAAAATCTCCAGATTTTTGTGTGGAGAGAAGACATTGAGAGAAAAATTGTAAAAAATGTGGCGGTAGTAATAAAGAAAGAAGAAATAATTAGATGAATGAAGTTATGTTTCATGAGCAACAGAGTAGTGAATAGAAGAGTCTGGAAGAGGAAGTCAGGGCAGAGAGGTTATACCTATTAAGGTAATGTTAAATATATACTAACAGTTATACCAAATGGTTCGTGAATCAAGCTCTTTAAAACAAGTTCTCCAAAACTAGCCGTTAATAAACGAGTTAGTTCGTTAGTCCCCAAAAATAAACTGAGAGCTGAGCTCAAAGAATATTAAAGTGCAATTTCATCTGAAACATTGCAATCTCCGAAACAAAACTAATTCCAACGAAACATTCTCGAAATCGCTTACGAATAATCGCTTGCCAATTAAGCTCGCTTATTTCCTTAATTCTGAGCGATTGCTCGCTTAAAAACCTTCCATTCCTACACACGGCTACATCAATTAAAAATATACTTTACTCCCGTGATATAGAGCACAGAACTGTTCATGATGAACTTCTGAAGACGTGCTGATTTAAAGTGTAATTGCATTCAAAGTATTGTGAAACTTATTTGTTGTGAATACAGTTTGTTTTAGCTCGAGAGCGTTGATGAGCTGAGCTAAATGGGAAATTGTGTGCTAACTCGCCGACGATGGAATAAAACAACTCTTTGCGCTAATAATGAGAAAGTACACGTAGAGTAATGAACGCACAGAGACTACCAACTATTGGATAATGAGAGGTATATTAGAATTAAGAAAAACTTAAGTCTTTAGCTTAACGGTTCACAATGAAGTTCTAAGGAGATGCAAATGCAATTAGTCTCTGTATAACCGACTAGTAATTTAATGATGTCCATGAAGGAACACGTCCGTACTATGATTATATTAAGTATATTTAAATGATAATAACTCTCTACATACAGTTCGACCTATTTCTAATCTATATAGAAGTGAAGTGAATCAAAGGACCTAGTAGTCAGTCTTTTTTGATGACATCCTTCTATCGGTTTTCACTCGTCATTCACGATGGATGTCCAACAAGTGAATACATGCACATACATATGTTATTTAAAATTAAAATTCCTTGTAGTTTGATACATATAATATATAATATAAATATATAAGTGCATAATATATGAATGAGAGGAAATAGAAATACAATACGCAAATGAAGCTCTGACGGAAGTCATCAGCGAGGCGGGAGACGAGATTATCATTTGGAAATTAACGTTTAATGTTTAGTTTAGGATTTAATATTAAATAATATATTTAAAATATTTATTTTCATTTAATATTTATTACATTTTGTACATAATTCGCACTGTAGTATTGCAATTAGAGTGTTTACAGCATTTATAGGAGAATATTTTCCATGCATTCAAAACAATTAATCATTTAATTTCGTAGATGAGCGAGATGTTAAAATATTCTATTAATTATTATTCAATAATAAATAAGATTTTCGCAAGTAGATATTTAGATGAAACTAGGATTTTCGGACAAACTATGAACTTTTTTTATGAACACTTAACTATTGACATAACAGTCGAGAGTTTATAATAGACCCAGAAATCTTAGTTCCATTAAAGTTATAATTAATCATCCTAATAAACAAATTATAAACATTTTAATATATTTAAAGTTTACATTACTTTATAAATACAATGAAAACTTTTAAAAACTCTGTGAGTTTTCTGCCAGCTCATTATTTATTGTTTAACATATGATACAATTGTAAAACATTTATTATGTAATATTGTAAATAAATAAAAATTATATCATTCAAATTAAGTTTTTTTCTTTACTTATGAAGGATCTTAATTTATTTTCTATATCTAAGCTATGGTTCATAAAATTAAGAAAAAATTAACATCAAAATCGATGAGAAAAAGTATTGTATCTTGTTGTTGTAAAAAGTATTGTATATTACATTATTGTAAATGAGTATTATCTAAACATAAAATGTGATGGAAAATTAGTAATTACATTAGTTATATTGGTAGTGAACACTTTAAAGAAACTGTCAGCAGTTTATAAATGAAAAGTAATGTTAAAAACCTTTAATTTAATATAAAGAAATTTAAAATTAATGTTAGTTTAACAAATAATCGTTTCAGAAAATAGTCACGAACGTTGAATCTTAACATCGTGTTTTACTTGAACTATATTATGTGAATTAATTGAAGTAATTTGTACAGAAAATCATGTTTAACTCTTAAATTATTTATATTTACCATAATTTGTTCTTAGAATTATATTGTATTTATATAATAATTATAAGTCATTTTAATAAATAACACTGTTTTATATAGTAACGTAAATATTACTTTATAAAGCTACTTTATGTCTAAAATTAAATAGAAACAACATTTTATAACCTCCTTCTAGTTACCAAGTTAAGATTAACATCATTTCCGCTTACAGCGGCATCTAGCGGCAAATAGAAATATCTTTGCAAAACTATGTAGTCTTTGAATAATTATTCAAATATATTAGAAATTATATTTGTTATATTAATTTCATTTTCATTTAGAAATTAAAAATTATACCACTGTTTAATAAATAAAATAGTTTATAGCGCCATCTATCGTTCAGTAGCCAATCTTTGTGGTTGTTTTTGCAGCATAAGTTTCCGTTCTTCTTCAGTGATGTCCGCTAGGAGGCGCACTGACGCTTCAATGTCCTTCATTTGAATCTTACTAAAGGCTAGTCTAACGTACGGACAGGGGGCTCTATTGTCGAACAGGAAAGCCTGCCCGGGAACTAACATGAGGCCACGGTTGAAGGCTGTCTGGAAAACCTGAAAATAATAAAAAAATAATTAAGTTACATTGTCACGTAGGCGCAAAATATTAAAAAATAAATGAACATCGCCGCGGCAACATCTGACTCCGCGGAACGAACACCAAGCCGTGTGAACCAGAAGATTCCTGATACCACACAAGCTATGGAATGGTATTGATATACTAACATCGGGTCAAATATGTAGTCTTAGGTGTAGGTTATAAGTTTTAATATGTAATTCTCATTATAATAGACATATAAGTAAGTTTCGTAGTTTTCCAGTAACCTCCGTTTGTCACCCTATATTTAGCTTTTTTTTTGATATTAAACCTGTTACGATTTCATCCATGTATAATCTATAGAGTACTCATACGTATGATCCTCTCACCATATTATAGACGTCTTCTATCCCAGGCACCTTCACCCAGTGGAAGAGTCCAGCACTGGGTTCAGTCCACTCCAAGCCGCTGACCTCCCTCATGGCGCTGGTGAGAGCGTTCCGACGTTGTTCATAGAACAGACGAGTTGAGTGTAGATGAGATGCGAGGGCGCTGCGGTTCAACAACAAGCGGTGTAGAATCGTCTGAAATGAGATTATTTTTCATTAGATTCTTGCTTAGCACAGCAATCTATCAAAGACTTAAGATTATCATAGACTTAAGATTCTGGTCTTTCCGTGATCCCGGTTGCTGAAAAGTAGCCGAAACGTCGGGAGTATGTAGTTTATAAACAAAAATATATACGCGAAGTAAAATCCGAAAATATTAGCTTCATTTATCATAGACTTTCAATTATTTTGTTATTTGAGCTATGTCTGGGAATTTATGTATTGGAGAATGAGGATTCTTCCATTGACAACTGTGTCTTTTCTTTTGTGAAACGTTTAATTAAATTTATAACACTGTTCCTACTCAGTCTTGTGTAAATAATACTTGTAGAACACTTTAGCCTAGCAGCTAAATCTCTAGTTAATTTTTGTTGGTATTTTAGGCTACATGCAGCAATTTCTTGATTCAATGTTAAGGTACAAATCCTGCAGTATACATTTGTTATGAATGCAGTTAGGAAAGTTGAACATGGATCAAATGACCAATTAACATGTATTATTTATCGAAATTAATAAACTTTTTATTTTCTCGTCACAGAACAAAAGATGAAATTGATAAAACAATTTGCAACTAACTCAAACTTTTACTTTAAACAGTCACAACACAAATGTAAACAAACTTCATCTTCTAATGGTCTTAATCTAAAAACAGCTGATACCTCATAAAAGGTATTTTGATGTTTTAAACAAATGAGTGAATCACGTAACTAATGATAATTAGAATGATAAAAAAATATTCCGTGTAGTAAGATAAGTATGTGTTATCAAATAAAAACAAAATATAATATGACGTCATGAGATAATAGCTAGTTCTATAGGAAATAGGGAAGGTCGCTCACTAGAACAGAGAAGTGGGAATAATAGTGACATAACTTGAAGGCTAATAAGTCATTACTTCCGTAGAAAACATTGTAATAGAAGAATGATTTCTAGTTGGCGAATTAAGGCTTATGTGGTTATAAATTTTATATCTTTTTGTTGACGGAGTTGTTATTAAATGAAAATACATATAAATGTGAAATATTTAGTTTATATTATAGCTGTGAACTTGTTCGATAAACGATATACAAGAAATTGGAATTATATATAATGATACATAACATGTATAAGAGGATTATTTTCTATATGTATTTATAAAATAATTAAATTCACTAAAAGTCAATCATATCAATAGTTATTTTTATTATCGTATGATGTGTGTTTATTCCACTTTTCACCGTGTGACCAACTGTTTATAAACAAATAAGTTTACAATGTAAGAAAACGATTTATTTAAAATACAATCTTGAACCATCTGACAGTATGTACAGTTGAACGACAATCTGCCATTATATATGTGAAGAGAGTTACTGACAGAATAGGCAACATTTTAAAGGTTTCAAACAAGACTATTTACTAGTATTAACAAACCACATAAGATAGTGAGTCAATTCAGAGATAACTAGGAGTTAGTTATTTCTATATTTTCCATAAGTTTCGATTACTTTTCAGCAACCTTTACCACGGGCGAGTGAGAAAAAAGTGTCACAAAAAACAAAACTCTTAGTATCATTAGGGGTCCCTTTTCTTTATGATAAGTTTATGCTATATACAATATAGACATTATGGTGTATACAAACATGATAGTGACTGTGGCTTGTCATACAATGGACAGACAGAGGGGAGCATCGGTAGAAGGGTAAAAGAACATATTTCGGACATAAAAAATAGGCTTGCGTCGAAGTCAGCAGTGTGTAAATACAATGAACAAACCAGGCCACTACATTCGTTTTGATAAACCACATATCCTCGCTCGTGAAGACACATATATACCGAGACTAAACCGCGAGGCTATTGAAATTAAAAACATCCCAATTTCAATAGAGAAGATGGCTGGAATCTATCAAACACCTGGGATCCTCTTCTTAAAAATTTAAAATCCCATGTCCGTGACCACACCGCAGGACCTCGAGACACGGTTAGAATTCGGTACATATTACGTGCATCTAGAACATTATTACGAGAAGTAATTGACAAATCGTTGCCTGTAAATAACAATAACTAAAACTGACTAATAGACACTCATACTTAGTATGAACTCAATTATGGTTGTTGTAAAATAAACGAAACATTAAATAATATAAAAAATACTCATATTACATATGAAAACCATACATAATTTTGTCAATTTTCGTATTAAGTTTTATCACAAACGGTGTGATAATAAGTTGAATCGTTATCAGAACAATGACCTTCTTAATAATAATAACTGATAAATACTAACGGCTACGGTCACGGACTGATATAAAAAATATATTATTTAATAGTTTTAATTAATATATTGAAATATTTTACTTACTTTCGAAATTTTTTTTTTCTAAATTTTAATGAGATCAAAGACTTTCGTATTTTTTTTTAAATAAATTAATATTTTTGCACTACTACACGTATTTTATTGTCTTTTTAAACTACATACTCCCGACGTTTCAGTTAATTTTCAGCATCCGTGATCACGGACAGACGAGATCTCGTGTGTAGTTTTTAAAGATAAAAGAAATACTAATATGTAGATATCCAAAATTATTAGCTTCATTTAGATTTATAAATTTGCTCTTAAAAATATTTACTGACTTAGTATAAGGAAGTTTCTGACTAAATACAATGATAAGTCATTATGTGAATGAGGAAACGATGGCGGAAATATAAAAGTCCTTAAAATTATCAAATATTAAATATTATAAACAAGTACTACTATATGTTTATTGTTTTAATATTTACAAAGAAATTATATAGAACGTTTAAATAATAAAAGACGCTTCATACAAAATGAAATAAGTAAATGTATGTTTATAAAAAAACACTGAACTAACATTAAAACTATTTTTCCAATTCGATTGTTGCGTAATTGTTATTAGAAAAATATTAATGACACGCCTACAATCATTATCAGCAAATACCCGGCTTATAATCTGATAAGTTATAATAAATAATATAGAATTAGCAACGTAATTAACGACAGTCGTTTGAAACACATTCTTTTATGATAATATTGATTCATGTATTAAGGAGCTAGTTCATATAACTTAAAACCATTTATATTATCTTCTTCTTTCTGGCAATTTCCCAGCTTTAGCCAGAGTCTGTCTTACATGTTGTGAATAGTTTCGGCTAATTGTTTTTACGACCGGCCGCCTGCCTGACATCAAATCAACCCTCTTTGAGAATGCATTAATCAATGATGTCTAAATACTTTTAGAAAGTACATATGACTCGGAAAAATCACATTGGTACTTGCCAGGATCGAACCCGCGCCCTCGTGCATGAGAGGCGGGGCTTTTAACCACTTGGCCACCACTGACTGAAACCAATTATATTATGTTTTACCCAACAACATAACAATAAATTTTTGCTACCAGTTCAATTCAATTAATTAGAATAAAAGACCAATATTAATTACACATTTTGATGTAGGTACGAGAGTAAAAAAGTGTTAAAGTTTTTTGTTCATAACAATTGGAACAAAACTAATATAAGATAAAATTATGAAATTAAGTTAATTAAGACATTTGGATGTTTGCAAGAATATGAATGAATGGATGTTTGTTACTGTTTGAAATAATAACTACTAAACGGATTTTGAGAAACCATAGAAATGAAGCTCACTCTATTACTTATTAAATAAGGTAAAGCGTAGTCTTTGTAGAATAATATTATGTTTATTATAATTTATTTAATATAGATATACCGAGATGACTAAAAATATGTAAACATTGATGATATATGTATATATGTTATTTATTACCTATAAGCGGCTTATAATATAACTTCTTGTACCATACATACATTGCAATTTGCACTTACATTTATGTATTTTTATGTATTTAACCTTAATATGAATACACTAAATTAAGAATGTTACATATATTTTAACTTATAGTCAAACAATCTGTTGTAACAAATGAAAGTATTGAAACAATACTTTTGGTGGCTTAGCGGTTAAAGGTCCACCTCTCATGCATTAGGACACGGGTTCAAAACCTGGTAAGTACCAATGTGATTTTTCCGAGTCATATGTACTGTCTAAGAGTATTTAGACACTACTGACAGGCGGTGAAGGAAAACATCGTGAGGAAACCTGAACTTATATCAAATTATAAGTTTGAAATCACCAACCCGTCTTGAGCAAATGTGGTGAATTATGCTCTAATTTTCTCCATGTGAGAAGAATACTCAGCAGTGGGCTCTGATAGGCTGATGATGATGTATGTATGTATGTGAATGTTTAACTGACCTGAGCCAATGTGCAGGAGTGTAATAGTTCAGCCTGTGCGTGTAGCTCTAGGTAATGTATGAAGGCTGCTGGAGCGGTCACCCATCCCGCTCGGAGACCAGAACTCACTACCTTGGAGAAAGAATCCAACCGCAACACACGGCCACAGGCATCCAGGGATAAGAAAGATGGGAACACGGTCTGTGGATAGATAAGGTCCATAAAATAAAGTTACAATGACTTAAAAATCCATAGCAATTTAGAGACGAATTAGTATGAGTAAGAAAACAGTATATTTTATTTAAATTACCCGCAACAATAAGGTAAATTGCATGATAAATAAATGCTATAAAAATGATTTTTAACTTATCGGTTTGAACACATGGTAAAATACTAACGTTAGTATAGTTTAGGAACATGTAAGGATCATCTTCAAGAATGAGGAAGTCATATTTGCAGGCCAGCTCGTATATCTGTCTCCTCCTCTCCTCCGACACAACTATTCCCGTAGGATTGTTCCCGGTTGGTATCAGATACATCACTTTGGGCATGTTCTGTCCCCGAGTTCGTCTCTCGTGTAGTATTGAGTCCAAGGCTTCAGCATTCAGACCCTGATCATCTTCACGTATAGCAAGTATTTCTGGATCGTAGGGTCGCAACTATAACGAATATTTGTTATTATTTCCATGAATAATATGTCTTAACTTAATAATTTGTAGGACTTGAAGTGAACATTGAGGTAATGATACTCACAGCAGTAAAAGCTCCTGTATACGAATATTCCGTGGTGATGATCACATCTCCAGGGTCTACCAACATATCCACACACTGATATATACCGTGCTGTCCACCGTTAGTGACCAACACATCGTAAGGAGAAGGAGGTCGATGAAGAACACGCTGGAACTCTCTCAACTCCTTGAGTAGTGCTGGGAGGCTGGAGACAATATATTGACAATGATTACGGATAAAATTAAAACTTAGATAAGATGAATGAAAAAGAATACTTTGGTAAAAATAGGCATTAAAAATAGACTTGAAACTTAATTAAGAAACATGTCAAACTTTAATAAAAGGGTAGAATAATAGTCTTGGGTTTTGGAGTCTACATATTATTATGTGTATATTATATTATGAGTGAATAGCATAGGAACGAAAAAACTAGTCGTTGATTTCTCATTAGTATATACATATAAGTTATTCCAAATAATTCACCCCTGAGAAGGCACGTATTGTAAGGCCGGTGCTAGTTCCGCTTCTTCCAAAATAATTTTCCCTCCACTTCTAGTGCTCAATTCCAGTTTTGTGAATGGAAAGATTGCTTCATTCGGCATACCTTCGGCCAGTGATATCATGTCTTTCCCAACTTTGTAAGCCAGTGTAGCTAAAAAAATTAAAAATATAACTATTATACATTATCCAAACCACGAGTTTCGTATATAAATCATTGACTTTGAGAGGATTGACACATCAAGGTCAATAAATTGTTTATTTATCAATAACGGTTAACGTAATAAGTTTATCTCTTGCTTAATATCACAGTTTATTTAAACAAATTAAAATACTAAGAAATTTTGTTATGACGCTCGGTTTAGATAAGAATAATATTAAATAAAAAATATTGAAATGATTTGTTTGCAAAAAGGACTGTTGGCATTTACAACATATCGCTTTACAGATATGGATGAGTGCAAAACAAAAAACATATTATAAGACATGTCCGTCAAATAATAATATGAAAAATGACGAAAAACGAATACAATGTCAACAAAATTATTATTAGGAGTGACATCAGAAGTAATTATTTAACAATTAATATTTTTTCTGTAAAAAAAACAAGAGCATACAGTTACATATTTATTTGTCATTAAGTATGCTTAAACAATTATTTATATTTTTATACCCAGAAACAGAAAATAGGTCGTTTAGTACATTTACATAAAAACAAATGGAACGCTATTCGAAGAGATAAAGGAGTTGTTAAAAGTCTTATATAGGTACTAAACAATCATTGCATTATAACTCAAAAGTTTGAAGCAAATTTTGTCCATATTTATCCTCTAGAATTATAGATTCGTTATCAATAGAGAATGTTCTATTACGAGTATCTTCAAACCACTCTTGATCTTCTTGGATCAAATTGAGATATTCAATTTGTAAGTTGAATTCAATGATCGGGACTGATGTTGTTTGAAAATTATAAATTTGATCTCGTCTTAATGCTCGTTTTATAGAGGATAGACTCAGTTCCATATCATGTACATTGTTATTCATTCCTATTTTAGGAGACGATCCAAATGAAAATGTTAACTGTTTGTTCTCATCTACGGGCTGCTTAAAAAGATTTTGCTTTCCTGTATCATCTAAGCATTGTTTTTCCCCTGTCTCCCTAAGTTCCTCTTGTTCATCCAACCACCTTTCGTGCTCTTGGTCGTCAAGTAGTCTCTGCTCAGCTATTTCATCCAAGACCCTTTGTTCCTCTATCTCTCTGAGTTCCTCTTGTTCATCCAACCACCTTTCGTGTTCTTGCTCGTCAAGTAGTCGTTGCTCTGCTATTTCATCCAAGACCCTTTGTTCCTCTATCTCTCTGAGTTCCTCTTGTTCATCCAACCACCTTTCGTGTTCTTGCTCATCAAGTAGTCGTTGCTCTGCTATTTCATCCAAGACCCTTTGTTCCTCTATCTCTCTGAGTTCCTCTTGTTCATCCAACCACCTTTCGTGTTCTTGCTCGTCAAGTAGTCGTTGCTCTGCTATTTCATCCAAGACCCTTTGTTCCTCTATCTCTCTGAGTTCCTCTTGTTCATCCAACCACCTTTCGTGTTCTTGCTCGTCAAGTAGTCGTTGCTCTGCTATTTCATCCAAGACCCTTTGTTCCTCTATCTCTCTGAGTTCCTCTTGTTCATCCAACCACCTTTCGTGTTCTTGCTCATCAAGTAGTCGTTGCTCTGCTATTTCATCCAAGACCCTTTGTTCCTCTATCTCTCTGAGTTCCTCTTGTTCATCCAACCACCTTTCGTGTTCTTGCTCGTCAAGTAGTCGTTGCTCTGCTATTTCATCCAAGACCCTTTGTTCCTCTATCTCTCTGAGTTCCTCTTGTTCATCCAACCACCTTTCGTGTTCTTGCTCATCAAGTAGTCGTTGCTCTGCTATTTCATCCAAGACCCTTTGTTCCTCTATCTCTCTGAGTTCCTCTTGTTCATCCAACCACCTTTCGTGTTCTTGCTCATCAAGTAGTCGTTGCTCTGCTATTTCATCCAAGACCCTTTGTTCCTCTATCTCTCTGAGTTCCTCTTGTTCATCCAACCACCTTTCGTGTTCTTGCTCGTCAAGTAGTCGTTGCTCTGCTATTTCATCCAAGACCCTTTGTTCCTCTATCTCTCTGAGTTCCTCTTGTTCATCCAACCACCTTTCGTGTTCTTGCTCGTCAAGTAGTCGCTGCTCTGCTATTTCATCCAAAACCCTTTGTTCCTCTATCTCCCTAAGTTCCTCTTGTTCATCCAACCACCTTTCGTGTTCCTGGTCGTCAAGTAGTCGCTGCTCTGCTATTTCATCCAAGACCCTTTGTTCCTCTATCTCTCTGAGTTCCTCTTGTTCATCCAACCACCTTTCGTGTTCTTGCTCGTCAAGTAGTCGTTGCTCTGCTATTTCATCCAAGACCCTTTGTTCCTCTATCTCTCTGAGTTCCTCTTGTTCATCCAACCACCTTTCGTGTTCTTGCTCATCAAGTAGTCGTTGCTCTGCTATTTCATCCAAGACCCTTTGTTCCTCTATCTCTCTGAGTTCCTCTTGTTCATCCAACCACCTTTCGTGTTCTTGCTCGTCAAGTAGTCGTTGCTCTGCTATTTCATCCAAGACCCTTTGTTCCTCTATCTCTCTGAGTTCCTCTTGTTCATCCAACCACCTTTCGTGTTCTTGCTCGTCAAGTAGTCGTTGCTCTGCTATTTCATCCAAGACCCTTTGTTCCTCTATCTCTCTGAGTTCCTCTTGTTCATCCAACCACCTTTCGTGTTCTTGCTCGTCAAGTAGTCGTTGCTCTGCTATTTCATCCAAGACCCTTTGTTCCTCTATCTCTCTGAGTTCCTCTTGTTCATCCAACCACCTTTCGTGTTCTTGCTCGTCAAGTAGTCGTTGCTCAGCTATTTCATCCAAGACCCTTTGTTCCTCTATCTCTCTGAGTTCCTCATGTTCATCTAACCAATTTTCGTGTTCTTGGTCGTCAAGAAGCGTTTGTTTTTCTAATTCATTGAGATGTATATCTACTTCCAAATCATTCTTATGTACAATGGATGTCTGACCTTGATCCAGTTTAACCTCTCTTTGATATTTATAAACATCGGTAAGATTATTGCTTTTGTCTTTATGATCATCAAGGATTTGATTTTCTGCCATAGATTTTAAATATGTTTCTTCATCTATAAAAGCGTTTTCATTCTTGTAACTGTTTTTATGATCATCTTCACTATTCCGTACTTCCATTAAACATTTATTAGAAACTTGATCTGTTTCAAAGTTAATGAAACAGTTTTTTCGTTCTTTTTTAGGCGTAGTATTTTGAAGTTCATAGGAATGAAACAGATCTTCTTTAAATATTTTTTCATTTCCTTCATGTTTCATATGTTCACGCCGATCTAATTCATTGTTTTTGTCGTTTCCTTTGGGTTTATAAGTATCCGTATGATTTATTGAATATTCTTCATAAATATTTTCTTTTATGTTCATACAATATACCTCTTCTATTGTTTCTGAATCCTTTAGTTCTAAGTGCTTATCTTTTATGACGATATTCAAAGTTTGTTTCATTGATTCCAACACAAGACTGTGAATCTTGCATTTGAAAAGGAAAAGGACACTATAAATAACATTTTCACTAAGTTTTTCTATAAAATCTGACATTTTAAAAATAATTAGCACTTATCATTTATAAGAAATACATTTAACGTCTATAGTACTAAGATTACAAACAATGTATGAAAGTAAAGTGCGATAAAATTTTATTGCTTTTAATCATTAATATCTGTAAACGCTATCACTAGAAAATTAAAATCATCAAAAACTCTCTTTACTTATCAAAAAAATTAATATGGTCTGGAAAGAAAATCATTATTTTCATATCTATAAATGCCTAAGTATAATTTGAGTACGTAATGATAACAGTATGGGTTAATTTGTCATTTACTATCCTGTAAATACATAGGTATATAAAAATATTAAAATATCTACTATTACTATGCAATATTTACAAACTCATTTATTTATTTGCATATATTATTTTATAATTAAATTATGGAACAAGATTCACAGAAGAAATTATTAATATTAGTAATTTTAATAAATAGATAAATATATTCCGAGAACAGAGAACTTTTTTTAACGTGACCAAGATATCAAGATGATGAAACTCTAAGCATAATTTGTATTCATAAAATCAATGCAATAGTTTAAAATATTTGCATTATAGAAAGAATCTCAGGAAAAGGTCACGAGTAGTCTACAAGATATATAAAAAGTTACGGAAAATTGTTTTTTAGCAGTTTAAAAGTTTGAAACTTTCAATGTGGGTAAGATTATTACTGGATATATACATATATATTCATTAAATAAAAGTTTATTACATGAACTAAGTAATCATATTGTTATATAATTTTCTTAGCATAAGAAATATTTTAAAACAACTATCAGCTTTGCCGTGCAAACATCTTATAGAATAAAATTAATAATCAAAATTGACCTCGTTATATGCAAAAAGAAAAGACAGAATAAAAAATGATTACAGGCGTAAATGTACACTATAATTGAGAGTTCTCTATTCGCCTGTTTCTATATTTATTAGTTATATATAACTTGAAATATACTTTATTTACGTAATAAAAATATTAAAATAAATATTACTTTTCCACTTACTCATCTGCCTCGTTAACCCTGGCTGCCTCTTCAAGGCTCTCTTGCTCAGAAATCTTTTGTAATCTTTTTCGTCCAACACACGATACTTTTGTCTAAAATCATTTCTTTCTTCGCTGTAAAATTTAAAAATGTCCTCAACGTTCTGCGAGTAACTTTTCTTGAGAACATAAACTGGACGGTAGTTTAAAATATTTCTGAATAAATTTCTATTCATTTTTGTGAATTGCACTGACACTGACATATTAATAAATTTTAAGAAACTGATTTTTAAAACTATATTTATCTATTTGTTTATTATATTGTTCCACGTTCAGATCAACATGTCTCGCGGGCTCCGCACGATGTGAATATTTAAAGATAATAAAATAGTTCTTAATTTTTTTTCACAAATTTTGATAAGAATTTAATGAACAATATAATTGGATGATTGATTATAACATAACATAACGTGTGAATATGTTATCATAATTTTATTATTCATTATTGTAAATGTATTTTCTTATCTGTTTGTTTTTTTAATTCATAAGTTAGTAAAGGACAAGGTAACTACGCTGACGTTTTGGACCTAACATTGTGTGTAGACGTCTTCTATTTTAAAGGTTTGTTAGAAGGAAGTACCAATAAGGAGGTATTAAGGTTTATAACATTTTTTCCACAATTTAATATTAATATCAAAAATTTTCTTCCATACATTAAAATCTTACAGAAATCTTACAGACAGTCAGTGGTGGCTCAGTGGTTAAAGGGCCCGCCTCTCGTTGCCGAGGGCGCGGGTTCGATCCTGGCCCGGGCAAGTGCCAATGTGATTTTTCCGAATCATATGTACTTTCTAAGAATATTTAGACATCATTGATTAATGTTGATTCCCAAAAAGAGGGTTGATGTCAGGCAGGCGGCCGGTCGTAAAAACAAATAGCCAAAACCATTCACAACATGTTAGGCAGACCCTGGCTATAGCTAGGAAAAATTGCCAGGTAGAAGAAGAAGCACATTAAAATCTTACAGACACTTTTCTCCCGGGTGTCTGTGTTCATAGGTACATATGAGTTGAAACGTCGGGTGATAATGTAATTAATACTTTATAATTACACGTTTTAATTAATAATTAATTCTCTGTTTAAATTTCAAAAATACACTCAGAGACGAAACCTCTTACCCCTCAAAGAATTCACTGTGCAAATGAATCAGGGTTTGTCTTATTGTTAATATAATATATGTAGTATCATACATCGTTCTCTTAAATGTTTTTTGGAGTAATGTAAAAACGTATTTACTTTAAAAATAATGAAGTTAATCCTAACAAAATAAATATTCAGAGCTTTCATACTCAGACAAACTCAACCTGTTTAAATAAATACTGTTTTTTTGTTATGGATTACAGATGAAAACTTCTCAGTAATCTATCGATTCACCGTGCGTGACAGGTCCATAGTTGTAGTAAGAGGAGTTTCAACAGGGTCTGGGACTTGCGAACTGATAGTTCTCGCTCCCACTTCTAGGTTTAGAGATCTTTATTTTCCAAAAAAGATACAAAGTCATTTACATGGAACCAAAAAATTCAAGTAATATTAAATGTCGTTCTTAACTTCTACCGCATACAAATCCACGACGAACCGTTTTCTAGTAAGATCTTTAGCGAGCTAATATTTATTTACTAGCTTAACTAATATTTGTTGACCTTGATTTTATGGTCTATTGGAGACGTTGATTTCCCTAGGAAACAAAACTCTTTCACCACAACTCGCTTTAAAATTTGCGAATTCATAAATATATCTTGTCTGAAAGCCGACGCACAAATATCCTCGGGTATATTGTATTGTTTCTAATACGTGTAATTCCAAAAGGAGGATCGTAACAAGCATCTTACACATGAATTTTTACGTTAAAATTATTCGATAACGTGTTGGATTAAAAAAAATATATCGAAAGATTCATATCATAAATCATGTCTGGGTATTTCTAATACTTATTTCTTAAAATTATCTTATAATTTATCTAATGAAAGCTTTTAATAATAATTAAATCATTTATTATCATCTAATTACAGAATAATTTCTAAAAAAATAAGATTTTTTTTTGTTGTCGATATTAAAAGTGTCTGGCAAAAAAAATATGCATACAGAAGTCTATCAGTATTCATTTGAAATGATCTAAAATATTTCCTATAACGTACGTAAAGATCAGGCCTCAGACTATAATTATAGTGGGTACAATTTTTTTTAAATTAGTAGCATCTAGTACCTGATAATTGGCCGTCGGTATAAATCGGCAGATATGTATAGGTTTACTTCTTCTTCTACCTAGCAATTTCCCAGCTATAGCCAGGGTCTGCCTTACATGTTGTGAATAGTTTTGGCTATTTGTTTTTACGATCGGCCGCCTGCCTGACATCAACCTTCTTTTGGGAATCAGCATTAATCAGTGATGTCTAAATACTCTTTGAAAATACATATGACTCGGAAAAAATCACGTTAGTACTTGTTCGGGCCAGGATCGAACCCGCGCTCTCGGCAAAGAGAGGCGGGCCCTTTAACCACTAGGCCACCACTGACTCAATAGGTTTCCTAACACACTTATATTAAATTATTATATGGTTTGATCATCATAAAATAAAAAAGTTTGCTCGCCTTGATGCTGCTCTTTAAGCTAAATAACACAATTCAAAAATTATTAATATACAAGGTGACTGGTGAATTACTATCAATATTTAAGGAGAATACTCGGTACATGATTCTCTTTCGAATTATGAATAAAAAATAGGTACTTATTTTTTGACCAAATTTCCGTATAAATAAATAAAGTGTGGACACGTTCCAAGTGTTCCAAGTGTGGACGCGTGCGGCGGCGTGCTGATACAACACCACGCCGCCAAACGCGCGTGTGTGTGTGTGTGTATACCTAATCTGTAGGGTGTTCACACGATGCGTAATTAATAACATAACTTTTGGTTAACTTTACTTAGAAGTTTATTAATATTTATGTTATATTAATTTTTATGTTGTCATATATGATCGTCAAATATCACGTCCTCAAGTATCGATAGTAATTCACCAGTCACCCTGTATATTTACCAACTGTCAAATTTTATAGAAATTTAGAGAAACTATAAATTTTGTTAATCTTATCTGTAACCCGATAGTAATAGAATTTTAGGCGATACGGATTTAGTAGTTAAGTTCGTAATTCATATAGATAACAGAAAATTATTGATAATGAACATTCAATGAAACGTTCCATTCAATCCACTTGATTGAGTTCTTGTAACTTGTTCCATGAGTGTGAGTGGACGAACTTTCATGTTTTTAACTCAACAAATAACAAAACACTAAATATGACTAAAAACGATCGTCAGAAATTATATCATACTAATATTAGGAGACTTAGAAGAAATGCTCTAAGTAAATATTTTATAACATTGTACAATATCAAATTTAAGTAAGTTTAGTGTGCCAGTGCCAAGACAAATAAAATGCATACAAAAATCCAATGGTTACTAGATTATTTTACAAGTAGTCAAGAAAGCTACAAATATTTTTATTTGGTGAAAGAATGCCAGTCTAGTCTAGACACAAACTAATTCAGATAGAAAAACATTTTCACTGTTATAAATTGTTGATTTCACGTCTGTCAATGGACACAGACATCTGTATATTATAATGTATCTTCTTGTTTCATAATTAAATAGCAAAAGACAATCTAGGGACTTTGCTTATCATAATTTGCTAGGAGCATAAGTTTTTTTTTAATAAGTAGTCATAAGGAACTGTTTAGTATTTTTATGAGAGTAAAAGCAGAATTTATAAATGTCACCACATTAACACACTTCGTTAAATATGTTGTTAAGTTCCAATAACAATCAACTTGACTCAGTTCCTGAAGAATTTGCTTTACCAAGGAGTTCAGATGTTTATACCAGTGTGTTTTGTAAATGACGCTTTTGTTACTTACAAGCAACATATTAAAAATTATTTTATGTATAAAATATATAACGAGTGACGCCGCTGACTCCGCGGAAATAACACCAAGCCGTGTGAACCAGAAGATTCCTGATACCACACGAGCTATGGGATGTATATGTTATAAGTTTTTAAATGTAGTTCTTGTAATATGTAATATACATATAAGTAAGTTTTGTAGTTTTCTTGGAACCTCCGGTCGCTACCTCATATAAGTCCTGTATAAATTTGTAAATGTGCAACTGTCTTATTGACAATAGTTATGAATCCAGTGGATTAGAGTGAAGCCTGGATTTCTTTAAATTAAATTTATTGCAAAAGGCGGAAAGATCAGAAAAAAAATATATTTTTTAATGTTTTTCAAACTTAAACAATACCGCCTTCTTTGATTGAACTTTTATTATACATTCAGGTATTAATAGTGTTTGAAGTTATATTATTTATAATTGAATAATATCAAATTTTATTGAGTCAGTGGTGGTTAAGTGATTAAAAGGCCCGACTCTCATGCACGAGGGCGCAGGTTTGATCCTGGCCCGGGCAAGTACCAATGTGATTTTTCAAAGTCATATTATGTACTTTCTAAGAGTATTTAGACATCACTGATTAACGTATTCCCAAAGAGGGTTGATGTCAGGCAGGCAGGTAAACTTACAAAGTGGTTAATATAGTTACAGGAATACCTGATAAGTCAAAACAACTCCCTAGGCTGTTATTTACTAAAAAAAATGTTATTAAAATTTCTCTAATAGTTTGACAATTAAATTTGAAAAATATTCATTAATGAAAATGTAATGCTGACAATAACTAATTCTTAAGAAATTAACATCAATTTTATCATTATTCTCATATATATATACATATACAGTGACTGGTGAATTACTATCAATATTTATGGAGAATACTCGGTACATGATTCTCATTCGAATTATGTAAAAAAATAGGCACTTAATTTTTGACAAAATTTCCGTATAAATAAATAAAGTGTATAATTTTTAGTATCTATTTAATGAACAGAATATATACATATTTGTAGTATTCAATAAAACTATATTAACTTTGACATGTATTGTGCTAAGTAGCAACACTGAACGACAGCATCTAATATAATAATCTATCTACCTACATTACACTTGACATCATATTATTATTATAATAACACCGAGCAAGCATACCATAACAACAATATATGTATAAGAAATTTTTATAACAAAATGAATTTTCCAAAGTTTCTCTATATAACAGTTTAAAACAGGTTTCCTTCAAACGTAAGTTATAATTTTAATCTTTGACACTAAATATTCATGGCCATAGCCTTATATAACGCTACATAGTATTTTAATTATATTTTTAAGTATTAATATTGATGTTTAAATGAAAATAATTGTTAATTAATTATAATTTACATATGAGTTTTAGGCCAAACGATAGTGAAATGCATTTACGTTGACAATAAAAAATTAAATGTTCTTTATATGTGTGTATAATAATTATAACTTGTTATAACAACATTATTGCTTCTGAGTATCTAAATTTTTTATTTCAGCTTCATTTTTTTTTTTCTAAGATCAGACTCGATGGATATAGATACAATTAAAATTATCGAAAATATTCTTTATATGCAATAAACACGTGTAACATAAAACTCAAGTTTATGAAAATTACTAACACATTTCAAACATACATATTGTATTCATACTAACTACACTAACTTTATTAAATTATAAATAAAAATATTTCACAATATCTATTAATAATTTTTTTTAAATAGTTACAAATTAATCTTAAAGCAAGTAGCAAACATATTGTAAGGACCTATGTACAATATATTTCAATCTATTTTTACGAGAATAGAAAGTTATGTAAGTAAAAAGGTGACATTACGTATTACGTTAAATTATAAATCTGTTTCCAGTTTATGTTTTCGTGCGCTATTAATATTGAATGAGGTCATTTATAACTGTAATATATTATTTAAAGACAGAGCCAACGAAGGTTGCATGAAACCTACAAAATATGTAATTAAATTTATATTTCAATGAGAACTACTAAACTAAACATATCGACTCGATTTGTCTTGATCTTAGGATTTATTTAATTGATGGAATTACAAATTAAAGTCTGTCGAATACCCACATTAATAAGTAAAAACTAAATAAATGCCCAGCAATTACTTTCAGTCTATAAATCTTACAAATATATTTTATAGGTATAAAGTGTATGAAGTATATATATTTTTTAAAATTTGTGATATATTTTACAGAGACAAACAGAGGCTGGATCATTTTATATACCTATGGATGTAAGCAACGTGATATTGAAGGAGAAAAATATAGCCTTAAAAGTTATCAAATTATGGAATAATTAATGTACTGGAGTATGGAAATTTAATATAAAGTAATAATGATAAGCGTTCAGTGGCTTCAGTGAGTTTATTATAGAAAATTGGGATAAACATTGTCACCACGAACAGAGTAACAACGAAAGACAGAAGTAGCAGACATAACAGTTTCAAATATTAATATTTTTGGGAAGGAAATAAAAACATTAAATAGGTAAGAATATTATATTCCTCAAAATATTTCAATTTAACAAATATTTATATGGCTAACACGAAAAAAATACAATTTTCTGATTCACTAGACTATCTACAGCTCATGTCTTACAAAATAGTTGGCGAACATTCTTCCAAGAAGTAACTCAGAATGTTGAATGTATCCAAAAAACGTGTGGTAATTTCTGGATTGCAAAGATATTCTCAAGACGTGAAAAATTTGTACAAGTTCTTCAGTGAGGAAGAAAATGAGAACCAGAAATACAGAACGCTCGATGAGAAGGACTATAAGAGATTTCTGAGTAAAAGAGCGCTGACTCAGAAGCCTGCACCCACGAGACAATTGAGTAAATATAAATATTTTTAGTTACTAGGTATGTAGTGAATATTAATGACGTCATTAATTGTGTTTACACATGTTTAATGAAACATACATTCTCTCTAAATAGAAGGTATAGCAAGTTTTTTATTTTAATTACTGTAATTAAAGTTTTAAGTTTAATAATCCTTTATATATTTTTCCGATTGGAGCTTGGGCCCAGTCAAAATTTATTTAAGCTGTTTTATTACATTAGGTAGCCTATAAGCCTATTTCAAGCAGTCCTAGGATTTCGATAAATCAACCAGCCATATTTACTAATGAGTGTATTTTCACAAAATTTCAAGCTAAATTATATTTTTATCTCACTATTCAACTTCTAGTAGTTATCACTCATTAAACTATCTATCGTCTGACGAAATGAACTAAAAATTCCACACCAGAAGTACCAAGGAACATGCTCACAATAACTTATAATGTGTTGACTGAATTTTCAGTCGCTAAATCTGAGAAAAGCACAAGAAAAATATGTCGAAGTTTAGGAGAAGGTATGCCCAATGAATATACGTTTCCGTTCACTAACCTCGAACTCACCACAAGGAGTGGAGACAGAATAACAATAGAAGGACCCCAGTTGGACGAGGCCCTGCAGTATATACCACCGAGAGGGTAAGTTAGTTCTGTCTTCATTTAATGTAGTGATGTTGAATAATCAGCAATGTTTTTACAACGAACGTATTACAAAAACTCACTCGTAACTTTATTTAATTTGATGTCACTTGTATAGTAAGTATATGTAATATATTTTTAAGCAATAATCAGAAATGTCTAAAAAATAATAAATTTAATAAGGCGTCACTAACTTACTTGTAATCAGATAAAGTTACTCCCTTTATTTGCTACAGTTTATTTTACTTTTCTACCTTTATTCATTGGCAATGTTAAGTATCCAAAACGACACCAATTTAAAAAGCTGTAACTTATCACTGGTTACATACGAAACTATCATATTTAAGATCGTCTAAATTAATGAATATTTGAGAAAGAGATAATATTATTAGAGAGAAGAAGGTCGCTTTTTTCTTTTACATGTATCTAAACTTCTAGACAACCTGATCTACGTACAGAACTAAATAACTTTCAACAAGAGCTACATCGCCCCCCTCCTCTACCTCGTAATCTTTTAATCACCACCGGAGGTCAACACGGCATTTTTCTTTGTGTGGAACTGCTAGTGGATCATGGAGATCCCATAATTTGTACCGAGTACTCGTATACAGGCTTGAATTACATCGTGAGTATCTAAAATTAAATATTAGAAGTTAAACCACGTCAAAATTAAAAATACTATGTAGGGGTTCAATTACGCTGTAGTACATTTTTAGAAAAATCTCTAAAAGCGAGCAAAATTCTAACTTTAGCAAAACAACAGACCGTTAGATAATCAATATTAAAATAAAATATGATTAAGTACCCTGTACCATTACATGTATGTAAATATTATTCATATACATTTCAGTTAAAACCCTATAATGTGGAATATATCGGAATCAAAGAAGATAAAGACGGTTTGATTCCAGAAGAATTAGAATCAGTGCTGAATACAAGATTGAAACAAGGACTCAAAATGCCAAAAGTATTATTTGTTGTTCCGACAGGCAGCAATCCTACTGGCTTTCTGCTGTCTGAGAGCAGGAAACGAAGGATTTACGAGATAGCTTGCAAATACGATCTAATAATTGTAGAAGATGAAGTTTACATGTTCTTGAATTACACTGATGTAAGATACTTCTTATTCCGTTGTTCTATCTTTCAATACAAATATTTCGTTTCTAATTTCAGTAATTCCTATATTTTTGCTACAGAAAGTGACACCATCTTTCCTGTCTCTGGATACAACAGGTCGTGTGGTCCGTATAGATTCCATCTCGAAGGTTGTCAGTGCTGGGTTGAGAGTGGGCTGGCTGACGGGACCTCAACCTCTCATCAGATATACTGAATTTTCATTAATGTCACAAATGCTGCATAGCTGCTCATTAGCTCAGGTAGTTCTTTTTATTTATATATTGCATTTCTTGTTTAAGCTGTAAGTATCACTGTACTAATAAAAACCTTTCAAAAAATTCATTTATTTTTAACAAACCATCATCCTCTCTATGCATGTTTTTTTAGCAAATGGAACTGTAATATTAATTAGTTTAATGTACTCGTAATACAATAATCGACTTCATTGAAAAGGAGGTAATTTTGATGCTAAAAATTTCAGTCTGTAACTTATAGTCTCATGGCGGATCGAGACCGTCTAACAGCGCATATACAGAGCACTATAAATTTTTACAAAAAACAGAAGGATTATGTAAATAATGCTTTGAAGAAGATTGAAGATCTGATAGAATGGGAGGATCCGGCTGGTGGATACTTCCACTGGGTAAAGATACGTGGACTTGAAGACGTGCGTAATATGGTAGGTTGATTGTGACAATTATATACTTATCTTTGTTGTGGAATATTTCTCCTAAAGACACATAAAGACCTGATAAATTTTTTGATCACATGCCATTGGTAGAATTTGTTTATATAGAACTATTTTCAAATCCTCCATTCTCTTGTGACTTCGTAGTACATAGGCGTACATACAGTCTATATTAAATTTTCTTGGAGGAAACTCACAACTTTGGGTTTTGCTTGAGTTAAATTGGACTAAGTTATCCCGACACCAACCGGCCACTCTGTATAGAATACTCTTGATATTAGACAAAAAATGTTTGCGACTATCTCCACATGATACATTAATAGATTAAGAAAGTATTGTTAAATATTTCCAGGTTTTCAACACGGCCTTCAAGCATGGCTTGATGTTAGAGCCAGGTCACAATTTCAGTTACAACACTGAGAGGCCATCTCCGTACATACGCCTGACATTCACGAGAATGAACTTGGAACAACTAGACAATAACGTTAATACTATTCGTGATATTATAATAGAAGAAAGAAAACTACAACAAAAAACATGTTAGGAAATTATCTGTAACAGTTTATATAGTGTATATATTATTTATTAAACAACAATATACAAAAGAGATAAAAGAAAACAAATAAACAAAAATATCAATCCAGGTGTAAGTTCACAGTTAGACAATTTAATTTATTAAATATATGTGTTATCTCTTCTAATACTAAAGTATGGAGCGTGTCAAATAAATATGTGATAGGAGGGCCAACCTTATCACCAAAAATATGTAATAAATCACAAGGTCGTTTATTATTTAATTGTTATTTTTATTCACACTTATTTTTTATTTACCATTAAATATTATGTAAAATAGAAATTGTACTTTAGCTGTTATTATTGCTGTATATTCTTACACAAAATAATCTAGAAGATTTTTATAAAATTTTATTTCCTTAGAGTATCCAGAGATTTTAAGTTTTGTATTATCCAGATGTAACTTAAGATTTACGTTGAGCAAACGATATACTTCAACCAACATAACTAATTATCAAAATTTGTCATTAAAATAACTATTTTTAATCAAACTGTTTTATGTTTAATTATAATTTATCTCTATATGTACGTTCTATACGTAGAAAAAAGAACGAATTTAATTAATGTGTGCATTTGATAACAAATAGTAAATTTCAAAAATGTAAAAAATAAATCTTCTTTATAATTGTTATCTATACAATAATACACAGCTAAGCATACACTCAATGGTATGTAGGCTAGATAAACCAATCTTTGTTCACTATTTTATTTAAAACATTCAACACAATATTTTTCAACTAGTTTTTACAACTACTTAGATATCTAAGTATGTTATACAGTTGTTATTTTGTCATAATTTAAATTATGTAGCCATTTTCAGTTTTAAAAGTACTGTGTAAGTAACACGTGATAAAATTTTTAAGGAAACGGTAAGATTATTATTATTTGTATTTTAAATAAAAGTATAATTTTGCGTTTGTAAGTAAGATAATAATAATAGTAGATTAGATATCTAAATTCAAGAAAAAACGGTCACTGATTGTAAAAAAAAAACAACGAAGACTTAACATTACCTTCAACGTATGCATTAATAAGAATTATTTATTACTGTACAAAAATTTCTAACCTATATCTATACCTACGTAATATCTTCGACTTCTTGAATTTAAGAGACTTTTTCGATGTCATGTTGATGTGTTGGTAGAACAATATCATCAACTTTATTAATAACTTTGTGGTTCTGGCTATATTAAAATCTTTAATATAAATATCGCAGTGTATAAAGTTTGTATATATATTGGATGTTGCTTCTTGAAAGACTGACTCAAAACTGACTAAGCTGCCCTTTTATATGCAACAATCCGATTACTAGAATATTCCAAAACCTTCTATATTTCTACTTTTTTACAAATATTAACAAGGATTGTTCTACTAAATGTAAAGTTAATAGGTTTGCCCACTCACCACAAGATGGTGCTGCTGCGAAAGAAATATAAAACTTTTTAACAAACAATATTTTAGTATTTAACAGGCGTATATTTAAAACCCGAAAAATTTAATTTTAAAACGTAAAAATGTCCAATTAAGATTCAACAAGAAACCACATCACAAAATTAAAATAAATATGTTACTCAGAAATCAGATTTATAAAGACAAGCACTCAAAAACTGAGAGTTGTAACACAAAAATTTGTTTCTCGAATAAGAATAGTTACTCGACAATTTAGTTAGTTTAACTCAGTTCACGATAACTGTAGTTCTACTGTACACAATTAAAATGTAATTTATAAATGTGTATACAGTTTATTGCTATATCTAAAGAAACAAAACTAATTCATTGTGACTGAAGTCTTACAGATAACTTGGCCGGCGGTGTTTTATATAGTTACTGAAAATGTTGATTCTATTCAATAAACGTACAATTATTTGTGGCTGCCGAAGATATTCTCAAGACGTGAAAAATTTGTACAAGTTTTTCAGTGAGGAAGAAAATGATACCCAGAAATACAGAACTCTTGATGAGAAGGACTATAAGAGATTTCTGAGTAAAAGATCAACCATACATAAACCTGGACCCACGAGACAATTGAGTAAATAAATATATTATTCTTTTAAAACATATTCATCTTAAAAGTCGAGTTGTCGCTAAAACTCATCTCATTAAACAATGTACATAAAACAAACAGTTTCAGAAGTTACAAGAGTTTAAAAGAAGTAGTGACAAACAATTTTTAATTATTTTATCTAATTTATGATTATTAATTTTGAAAATTTAACCTAAGTATTCAACACAGTAAATGTTTAATATGGAGAGAGAATACATAAAGCTATTTTGTTATTAATACACAAAAAAGTGTACCACATGTTTAATACACATTGATACATAATAGAGCAAGTTCTAAAGGCCCCAGTCCTTATAAATTTTCTGCAAAACATAAATATGTAATAAATAGATTAGTATTAGTGTCTACAGTGAATGTATAGAAGTAAATTTTAATGAAACATTATTATAAAGGCACCTAAACATCATGTATGATGGATATTTGGCATTGGGTTAGTCTGGCAACGTAGAAAAAATATTATATGTAAGGTAAAGATACCATGGAATCTTGGAGTATAACATGTCCATACAAAGATTCCTCAATCTGTATTTGAATAATGTAAATTTCAAACTTTAATGACATCTAGAAACAACTTCAATATGAGTAACAAACTTAAATTCATAGTAAAGATAAACTTTAACTATAATCAATATATTTTCAGTCGCGAAATCTGAGAAAAGCAAAGGTATAATATGTAGAACTTTAGGAGAAGGTATGCCCAATGAATATACGTTTCCGTTCACTAACCTCGAACTCACCACAAGGAGTGGAGACAGAATAATAATAGAAGGACCCCAGTTGGACGAGGCACTGCAATATATATCGGCAAAAGGGTTAGACTTTATAATATAATTTTGCCTAACAGTCATTAATGTAGTTACTACGAAAGTATTCAAGAAATTATATCTCATTAATTTTAATTTGACTTCACTTGGATAATTAGAATTTCTGATAATTTATTCAAGCCATGGTTTAATTATTTTCTTGATAAAAATGTTAATTTGATAAAGTGGAAGTGACTAATTATAATTTTATGTATATTACGTTAATGCCTATGCGTGTGATTAATTAAGAATATGAATTATTTAATATCATATTTATTTAGCCATCTGTAATATATCTTGCCTTTTATACAATGGCCTCTTAGGAGTTGAATTTGCTAAACATTTTTTTTAATCATCAATTATGCGGAGACCACCCGCTTTTGTCACATAAGACCCAATTCATCATTATCATCATCATTATAATCAGCCGATTAGAGCCCACTGCTGAGCAAAGACCTCTTCTGGGTTGAGCATTGATCATCACACTTGCTCAAGACGGGTTGGCGATTTCAAACTCTTAATTTGAAATTTTAAGTACAAGTTTCCTCACGATGTTTTCCTCCATCGTCTGTCAGTGGTGTCTAAATACTTTCAAAAAATTTCTTGTCAGGTTTGAACCTGTGCCCTCATGCACGAATGGTGGGCCTTTAACCTCTAGGCCACTACGTCTATATGATGCAATTATATTTAATATAATAAATGTATCTATAACTCCAGATTGCCGTGTCTACATCAAGAGCTAAGTAACTTCCAACAAGAGCTTCATCGCCCGCCTCCTCTTCCACGTAGTCTCTTACTCACCAACGGAGCTCAACACGGCATACATCTTTGTACTGAACTGCTTGTGGATCACGGTGATCCCGTTATAGCCACTGAATACTCGTATTTTGGTTTACATTATGCTGTAAGTAGCTAAAACTTAATCTACAGTCAATTCTAAACAGTTCTTTTTGTGGATGTATCGCCACCCTTGATTGGGAATAAAAATAGGAAAGGGAAGGACAAGAAAGGGTGGGAAAAAGAAGGGGTATCCGGCTTTCTCACTCATGTTACAAAACTCAGCCATTAAAGATTATTTCTACAGATAGGCTCTAACCCCAAAAAAATTTTCAATAAATCGACTCACAAAACTGGAGAAGCTTCACGAAAGCTTACTTATCATGTCTTTAAAGAAGATTATTTATTCTGTTAAGAAAATTCTTTAATTATGAATTTATCATAATAATATGAAATTCCTTTTTGTTGAAACTTTTTTATTTTATAATTATTTGTTTCAGTTAAAACCCTATCATGTAGAATTTATTGGACTCAAAGAAGATAAAGACGGTTTGATTCCAGAAGAATTAGAATCAGTGCTGAATACAAGAATGAAACAAGGACTTAAAATGCCAAGAGTATTATTTGTTGTTCCGACATTCAGCAACCCTACTAATTTTCTGCTGTCAGAGAGCAGGAAACGAAGGATTTACGAAATAGCTTGTAAATACGATCTAATAATTGTAGAAGACGAAGTTTACATGTTCTTGAATTACACTGATGTAAGATACTTTTCCTCTATTCTAATACATATGTAAATCTGTTTCCAATTGTTATAACTCCTATATAAATTTCTTTTTGTTATAGACAGTTATACCGTCTTTCCTGTCTCTGGATACCACAGGTCGTGTGGTCCGTATAGATTCCATCTCGAAGGTTGTCAGCGCTGGGTTGAGAGTGGGCTGGCTGACGGGACCTCAACCACTCATCAGATATACTGAACTGACTTCAATGTCTCAAATCATGCATCCTTGCGCCGTTACTCAGGTTTAGCTTTCTTGATATATTACTCTGATATTTTATTCCTATATCTTTTTATAAATAACTATAACAAATTTAAGTAAATTTATACAAAAATTTCAGTCCATGATCTACAGTCTGATTACTGACCGAGAGCTTCTAACAAAACATCTACTAAGTGTCAGATGTTTTTATAAAAAACAAAAGGATTGTGTGAATAACGCTCTGAAGAAGATTGAAGATCTGATAGAATGGGAAGAACCAGAGGGGGGCTACTACCACTGGATAAAGATACGTGGACTTGAGGACGTGCGTAACATGGTGAATACTTTTTATCTTTATTATGGAATATAGAACCTATTCCTATTAATATTATAAAGGCGAAAGTAACTCTGTCTGTCTGTTTGTTACGCTTTCACGCCTAAACCACTGAACTGATTTTAATGAAATTTGGTACAGAGATAGAGTTGACCTTGAGAAAGAACATAGGATAGTTTTTTTCCCAGATTTTTGAAAGGTTCTCTTGGAAACGCGATATAACAGAACTCCACGCGGGCGAAGCTACGGGCAGAGAGCTAGTACTTAGATGCATATACATACGTCAATGACGTGGTTCTTATTAAATACGTCGTAGGCAATAAAAATGAGGAATATTGAGGAGTTTTATATCGGACTGGTTTATCCACTAAGACTATAAATCGTAATTTTATTAATAAATAAACAATTTATTGACAAGATACAGTTTCCTTAGAGAATCTTCTCATTTTATATTTGTTATTTTTTCCCTGCTTGAAGGCAAATGAGTTCAAAATTTTATGTTCTGGTAAGCCCATCTTTGTTCCATGACAGAGGTAACATAAAACTTGTTTGAAATACAAAACGAGACTCAACTTTTCCTAAATTACCAATTCAGTGGTTATAAATTTTTATCATAGAATATAATTAGTATTTCAATATTTATGCACTATTACAACTAAGTGATTATTGTTAAATATTTCCAGGTTTTCAACACAGCGTTCAAGCACGGCTTAATGTTAGAACCAGGTCACAATTTCAGTTACGACACTGAGAGGCCGTCTCCGTACATACGACTGACATTCACGAGAATGAACTTGGAACAACTAGACGATAACATTAATACTATTCGTGATATTATAATAGAAGAAAGAAAACTACAACAAAAAACATGTTAGGAAATGATCTGTAATCGTTTTTAACATTATATTAATGTATATTTTGTATTGAACAACAATATACTAAAAAATAAATAAATTATTATACCAGGTGTCTGTTTATAGCCGATTATCAACATCCAACCAGTTATACAATTTAATTTGTTAAACGTATGTGTTATCTATACCAATAATAAAGTTTGGAACGTGACAAATAAATGTGTGATAAAGAAGACTCGCTTTATAACCAAACATATGTAATAGAGCACCAAGATTTTTTAATATTTAATAGTTATTTTTTTTAACATTTATTATTTATCTGAGGATTAATGCTATATTAAATATATTTTTAACGTTTTTTAGTTTTTATATTCCTACAGAAAATATTTTTTTGCCCTAGAGTGTGCAGTGAACTTTCTTTTGAATTGGCAAGCTAAAATCTATTTTTTTTTAAAGTAGCCAAACGAGCAGATGGCCTACTTGATGGGCAGTAGTGACCGTAGCCCACTGACATTCGCAACATAGTTATTTCGGATGCGTTGCCAACCTTGCTTGTTGAGGAAAAGGGGGGTGTAGGAATAGGGAAATAGTAGGAAAGGGAGAGAATAGGGAAAAGACAACGGGCTCCATCACTCATCGGACGAAACGCAGCCATTAAAGGCTACTTTAGCCGATATTCTGTGAGACGATAGAATTTCCCCACTCGAGCCAGTCTATGTTCGAGCTGTAGTAACTTAACTACAGCTAACTTCTACCACCTTTAAATCTCTTGCCGCCCACTGTCCGTCCTTGTTGTTCAAATTGAGTTAACCAAGCCAAACGTTTTCACAATTGAAAATAAAAGATACTGCTTTTTTACATTTAACAGAAGTATGTCAATAAATTTTGTTTTTTTGTCGTTTACAGCAAAACTTTAATTTCTTGCAAAGTGCTTTGGATGCATATAGAATGAGCTAACTGTGTCTCGAGGTCTGGAAAAGTGGTTGATAATTCAATATATTTTGTATATTGGTTTGATTGGGGTCATCCTTAAATTTAATATTAAATAAGCTTACTTCATTTAATTAGTTGGCAAAGGAACTCGAAGTTGGTATTCCAGAGGTTATTTTTTGTCTGTCTGTGCGTATGTTCCGGATAATCCTTGAAATATCTGGATCTAATTTGGTAGGAAGCTGGTGTAATAAGGAATAACTTAGGTGACTTTTTATCCCAATCCCGAATCCTAATCCCGAAATTAAATGTTCCCACGCCCGAGTGGGTAACGGTCAAAATTATTTTTTTATGCAGACTGAGTCACGGGTAACAACTAGAGCCTAATAAAATTTTATATATTTTATATATACATACGCGAAACTGCTTAAATAAAAATATTCATTTAGATAGCAAAACGTAATATTTTAAACGTTAGATATAAATTCACCTTTTACATATTTATCTATACAATATTATTCGAGTACACCTAAGCATACATTTCAATGTATGTAGTCTAGACGCACCAATCATCGTTTACTATTTAGATAAATTAAACATTTTATTTCAATATATTTCAACCTGTTTTAACAATTACTGAGACACCTATGTACACTGTAAGTTATGAAGTTGTCTTCACCTCATAGTCTAATCATAAAGTTAGTCTAATCATAAAGTTATTTTCCACTTATAAAGGATTGTTTTAGTAACGGGAGACTAGGTTTTTAACAAACGGGTAAGATTATTTTTTATTTGTACATAAACGTATAATTTTATGTTTTTTTTAGTTATGTAAATGTGAAACAGAGCCAATAATAAGCTCTAGAAAAACAACGAATTTCTTCCTTTAACGTTTATTTTAACATGCATTATTTTACATTATGCCTTTGACTAAACGCATAGAGAGCTTTTTCTTTTAATGACTGAGAGAAGGAAATCTAGAAAAATAAATTTAAAAATGTATTAAAATATATGAATTAATGGAATTAGTGGAGTGTTACGGGCTATTATTTAGTAAAATTAGTACAACAAAGGTATACTCTACAGCAAATATTCAATCAGAAAACCTTTTTTAAGGAGTGAATTATATGATTAATGCAACAAGTACGATCTATTACTAATTAAAATGACGGTCATTGGCTCTAACGGTCTGAAAACTGATATGCAACTATTAATAACTACTCCTAGAATCTTCGGCAAGTTTAAAGACCATTCATTTAGACCAGGAGATATGCCACGTCAGGAAGTCATACGAATAAGGTTATCGTACCAGCTGTTGTAAAAAAAAATTGACACTACTGAACGACGACTACTGAATAAATGAGAGGTTCGCGGTTCATGGCTAGAGTGTTCTTCCATATTTCTGTGAAGTACATCATGAGATCCCGTTTCAAACAACTAGGATGAAGCCAGTGTTATTGGTTACTAAGAAGATCGTTGTCTTCTGGGTATGCCATGAGGTATGCCGTAAACAGAAATTAAAATTGGACCATAATTAATGGATTCTTAAAATAAGTATGGGTACCATATTGATAATTTCCAAAATTTAGGCACTACTGTCAGTTATAGGAGGTGGTGCAATGATATCAGAACTGGAACCAACTCAGTAACTTGTTTCTTAAATATTAAGTCTAACTAGCTAGCACAAGTTTTGTGTCCGTCCGTCTGCGTAGTCGAGACTTCCCGTTTTCTTCTTCTAATAACTGAAATATAGATCCTTGTCTTCGTGAAAAAGATAAAAGTAAGAGAAAATTAAGAGAAAGGGAAAAAACAAGAAACAAAAAAAGGAGGAAAATGGATTAAGAAGAAGATGGAGAAAAAGATGAAACGCAACTAATTAACATGAAAACGATATTTTCGGATTTTGCGTATTATTAAAAAACAAAGAACGATGTATTTATAAAAAAATTACTACTAAACATTCTAAGTAACAGTTTTTGGTAACACTCTGAATAAAACAGTTCTTATTGTAATCTTTACCATAACCATGGGTTTCATTTAATAATATTTATGCTAATACAGAAGTAAAATAAACAATTAAATACTTAGTAAAGAGAAACAACAATAATAGCATTTTTTTTCTGTTCCAAAATGTGCTCAGTAATAATAATGTTGTGAATCAAAAAAGCATAATGAATACGAAATATATAAACGTGTATTAAATAATGTTTTAATACTCACTCATAAAACTTAATGTCTTATAGGAAAAAAACGTCGAAAGTGTTTGACAAAGTTATAAAAAATGTTAAATCTATGCGAAAAACGTACAATCATTTGTGGCCTGCGAAGATATTCTCAAAGAGCGGAAAATTTGTACAAGTTCTTCAGTGAAGAAGAAAATGAGAACCAGAAATACAGAACTCTCGATGAGAAGGACTACAAGAGATTTCTGAGTAAAAGATCTCTGACCTACAAATCTTCAGCTACGAGACAGTTGAGTAAGTTAAAAATGTTTATCTCATGAAATATTCATATATACCAAAACATAATTACAAATTATATATTAAAATATTATTGCAAAACAAACAGCAGGTGAAAGAAGGAACAAAAAAAGATTATATCCAATAAACACGTAAAATATTAATATTCCTCTTCCTATTCCTCTTTTCGTTTATAAAAATAATAATACTTACGTCATACACACGAAACACACACATACTAGGAATAGGTCCGTCGTAAATTTGTACGCGATAGAAGTTGGAGCGAGAGGTATGTATAACATATTATTCTCTCTACAACCTACTTAAAGACTTGGGCCTGTCCAGAAGGTAGCCCTGGTAGGTTCGTTTCAAATTTGGTTAGGTAGAGAGAGAGCGTTTGATAACGGAGGTAAGTGTTTAACACGCGCTAGATAGGGCCCTCTTAAACCTACACCTGGTTTGCAAGTCCCAGGCACTATTAAACGTCCTCACACTGCAAAACGATAGCACTGGCAACTGTCTCTTATATATACGTGAGCTATAAAATAAGTTTCTGCCTACTATCTAAAACAGTAATAATTTATATGGACAAGAAGTGCATGATGCTATTTTATTATGTTAATATCTGTATTGTTAAAGAACAATAATCACCTTTTTGACATATAAATACATTTAGTTTAAATTTGCCCAATGTTAGACACATTGGCACTAAATTTCAAATAAAATTACATTTCTATTGAACTTCAAGTAGTAATCGCTAAACCACCTGCTGTCTGGCAAAATCAATTAAATATAATTCCACAACAAGGATACCTCCTTAAAATAACATACAAACTTAAACTGTGAAAAATTAATTTTTAGTCGCTAAATCTGTGAGAAGTACAAGAAAAATATGCCGAAATTTGGGAGAAGGTATGCCCAATGAATATACGTTTCCGTTCACTAACCTCGAACTCACGACAAGGAGTGGAGACAGAATAACAATAGAAGGAGCCCAGTTGGACGAGGCCCTACAGTATATACCACCGAGAGGGTAAGTTAGTGCTATCTTTATTGCTCTTACTTGGTCAAAAAAATTGTGAGTCTGGTAAAGTGTAAATTACTTAATACGACCATAAATTCACTTTTCATTACGTAAACATAATTTGATTCTTTATGTTATCTAATTTAAGAATCTGTAATAAAACATACATATGATATATAATGATAATTCAACAAAAACTTTGAATCATTATTTAAGAAAGAAATGTTTAGTTTTTGTCACATAGGAAACAATTATATTTATATCTAATATAATAAATGTATCTATAACCCCAGATTGCCGTGTCTACATCATGAGCTAACTAACTTCCAACAAGAGCTTCATCGCCCGCCTCCTCTTGCTCGTAGTCTCTTACTCACCAACGGAGCTCAACACGGCATACATCTTTGTACTGAACTGCTTGTGGATCACGGTGATCCCGTCGTGGCCACTGAATACTCGTACATTGGCTTGAATGGGATTGTAAGTAGCGAGTGATATAAGCAATAAATTTTGAACAGTTCATTAAAACGCCTCCCAAAACCTCGGGAGTTTGATTGTCTCTCATGTATATTACGTTTGAAAAAGGTCATTCTATTAACAAAGTTTATTTTATTTAATGAAGCCTCAGTCAGTAATGATTTCATTAAATATTAAAATAATGTTAAATTCTTATATTAGGACAACGAAACTAATAATGATTAATAATGTTCTGTTATATAATTGGTTTCAGTTAAAACCCTATAATGTGGAATATATCGGGATCAAAGAAGATAAAGACGGTTTGATTCCAGAAGAATTAGAATCAGTGCTTAATACAAGACTCAAACAAGGACTCAAAATGCCAAAAGTACTATTTGTTGTTCCAACAGTCAGCAATCCTACTGGTTTCTTGTTGTCGGAGAGTAGGAAACGAAAGATTTACGAGATAGCTTGCAAATACGATTTAATAATTGTAGAAGACGAAGTCTACATGTTCTTGAATTACACTGATGTAAGATACTTTTCATTCCGTTGTTCTATCTCTCAATACAAAAATTTCGTTTCTAATTTTAGTAATTCCTATATTTTTGCTATAGACAGTTACACCGTCTTTCCTGTCTCTGGATACAACAGGTCGTGTGGTTCGTATAGATTCCATCTCGAAGGTTGTCAGCGCTGGGTTGAGAGTGGGCTGGCTGACGGGACCTGAACCACTCATTAGATATACGGAACTGTCTTCATTATCGCAAATGCTACATCCTTGCACTTTATCTCAGGTCAGTTTTCTTGTTATTAACTCTTCTGCTTCTACCTTTTGAAAGATATGTATCACTTTAGTGAAATAAATGTAAGCTATTTATATTTCTCACATGGAGAAGGTTTGAGTATTAATCACCGCGTTTGCTAAAGACGTATAATTGGAAATTATAAGACCAGGTTTCCTCACGATGTTTTTCCTTCTACTGTCAGTGTTGTCTAAATACTCTTAGAAAGTACATATGATTCGAAAAAATCACATTGGTACTTGACAGGTTTCGAACCCGCGCTCTTATGCTTGAGAGGCGAGCCTTTAACCACTGGGCCACCACGACATTAAATTAAATCTGTATCAAACATTCAGCGGATCATTTTTCATAAACTAAATCGATTGTAAATACACCATCGACCATTATATCTGACATTTGCTAAATATGCATGTATGCATTCCCTACTTGTTCTTTCCTAAACTTATTACGATACTATTATGAAGACTGCGTTCAAAATTAGATATTTTTTCTATTACGATTTTCAGTCAATAACGTACAGTCTGATGGCTAATCGAGATCGTTTAACAACTCATCTATTGAGCACTATACAATTTTACAAAAAACAAAAGGATTATGTAAATAATGCTTTAAAGAAGATTGAAGATCTGATAGAATGGGAGGATCCGGCTGGTGGATACTTTCACTGGGTAAAGATACGTGGACTTGAAGACGTGCGTAATATGGTAGGTTGATCATTACACATTATATACTTACCTGTGTTGTGTTATACTGGTTCTAAAGACATAAAAAAAATTACCATATTTATTTATTTATTATTATTATATATAAACTTATGTCTGGCTTGGCTTAAATTGGACCAAAGTATTTCGACTCCAACCGACTTCAGACAAAAATCATTCGCAACTTTCCCCCACAACATACATTAATAGAATAAGAAACTATTGTTATATAATTCCAGGTTTTCAACACGGCGTTCAAGCATGGCTTGATGTTAGAACCAGGTCACAATTTCAATTATGACAGTGAGAAGCCATCTCCGTACATACGACTGACATTCACGAGAATGAACTTGGAACAACTGGACAATAACGTTAATACTATTCGTGATATTATAATAGAAGAAAGACAACTACAACAAAAATAATGTTAGGATAGTATTTAATTGCTTCTAAATGTATTATTTATTGATCACCATCACACTCAATAAAACAAACAAAGTAGGAAAAAAGGTAAAGTACAAAGCTATATTATTGGCAAGTTGCAATCCCTAGCAGAAAATGAATTTGTAATATTTACCATACACAATATTAAGAATTGATGAACTAATATCACATAAATAAAACTCCGCTTATTTCCAATATGTAAGTAATTGCCAAGTTTGTTTATAATTTGTTGGATATTATCATATGCATTCGAACTCTATGAAAGATAGAAAACGTTTTATTTGTGAACATCTTTGCGAGACAGGACTAACATAAACAGAAATAAAAAACAAAAAATAACAATACAATTAAATAATATCTAATTTTGTCCATATTTACTTTCAAGTCACTTGTTTTCTTTCGAGACCCTTTCCTAAATCTTCTAAAGATTTGGATAGGACCATATCATCAAGGAATAGAAGGTGCGTAACGTCCTTTCCTCTTTAAAAATTATAATACTTTTAATTTTGTGATTAGCTTCTATTGCTAGATTAGTATCTCATTGATTTGACATATTGTTAGGTAATTATTCTTCCTTTGTATACAGAACAGCTAAAAATCGTAGACCTTACAAACTGATATCTGTTTTATAAAAATCAAATTTATATTTTGTTATTGATAAGAAATTTATGAAAAGAATCAAATTTAAAAATAAAAACCTACAATTAAAATGAAAACAACAATACAATAAAAGGAAAATAAATAATCTGAGACTCCTTGTTTTTATTTATGTACATTATATGTATTATGTCAAATCTGGTAATAAGTTTTTGTTTTAAAAATCAAATGATGTGCGCCTATCTCAATCAATACATTAAGCAAATACAATGATTTAAATGAAACTAATATTTTCGGATTTACTAGGCGATTTTTCATTTTTGACTACTTTACAGCAACCGTGATCACGGGCAGACGAGATGTGAGTGTCTGTTTGTGTAAATACAATAAATTTAGGTAATATAGTTCTTAAACATAGACCTATTTCAATCTTTGAGACTAGCTCCTCCTTGTTCGTATTTTTGTTCACTCGATTAAAATATTTATAAAGTCTAGATCAAACATATCAAATATACAAAAAATTATAAAACCATACATACAATAGTCATACAATAAAAGAATTATAATTATAGTATTCACATTTATTATTTTTTTTGTACAATATTAACAAAATACAATCAATTATGTGATAACTTGAGTTTGCAGTTCCGCGGCGTTGAAAGATCACTTGCAGACGGCGTGTTTGATGTAGATTCGGGGATGAATCTTAAATAAATATACAAAATAAATATTAATTATAATAAAAATTACATTATTATTGAAGAATGATATAATTTATTTTATAACATCTCTATCAGTGTCAACTAATTCTCACTGTAATATAAAAACTGATATAAAAATGTTGTTTGAAGTAGATTCGGGGATGCATCTTAAATGAATATACAAAATAAATATTACTAATAATAAAAATGACATTATTTTTGAAGAATTATACGATTTATTTAATAACGTCTCTATCAGTATCAAATATATCTCATTTTAATACTAATATTGATATAAAAATGTTTTAAATACCTCGTAAACGTACGCTCGTATATAGGTCGCTGTATATGTGTTATTGGGTAGACAATGAGTGATAGGTGAGGAGCTCCAACAGATACCGCCGCATGCATCTGAAATTATACATTAATATGATATATTACAAGAACAAACCAATATGTAAGATAGATAGAAAGCTCTCATTATTATTGCAATATTTAAATTAACAAATAGGCTATTGTTTTTTATTTAGGAACACCAACAGTACACATATGCAGTTACATAAAAAATACAGTCAAAAGTATAGGTCTTCATATATATTACAGGTATTCACAGCACTGTCTAAAAAGTTATAATAACGATAACTCCTTAATCTGACTAGATTAAATTAATACTACATAAAAAAACCTCTTTAATAAACAAATTATTGCATGAGTAAGAAACAGACTTCTTATTCATAACTTGAGATGTTCTATAAATAGTTTGTTATAAAAGTAAACTTATTGTTTTTGTCTGTTTACTGAATGATAGTAAAAACGCTCTTTTATATTCGATTTAATCAAATTAAATTGTTGAATATCTAACAATGTCACTAGTTGAATCCTTACGTTCTTCATGATTGCTCCCATCTTGTGAAGTTTTTCATTCAAGTCGTGCTTCAAACCTCTCATCAGGACAAAATCTTTTTCCAATATTCCTTGCAGTCCTGGAATGTTTATTATTATATTATTTGTAAGATACTTAATTTCTTTATTACTTGAATTTTAGGCAATCAATCATATTATGAGTAATCTTATAATTTCTTCAGATATATAATTTAATCAGAATTACCAGTGAAAGATCACATTTAAACTGAACTATATTTATCATTTTAACTTACATTTTTTAAATCTTTCTACTCATGTTGCTATAATTATGTGTTAATGTATTTTTAAAACAAATATTGTAATAATTATGGCTACTTTAAAAAGATTCACATGTTAGCTATTTTCATTTAATTGTTTTACATTTGTCATTAAAACATGTAGTAGCTTAGTAGTCCTTAGATAAATAAATAAACTATATAGAGGCATTCTAATTAAAATTTTACACGTAATTGGTATAAATACTTATATTATAAATGTACAAATATATATATTACCAGCTTTTTCTAAGAGTTCTTCAAGGTTTTCGTCTGATGAAGAGTCTGTAGTAACTGTAGTCAGAACGTTAGTTGATTGTAATGTTTTGGGATCAGCTGGTCTCGGTGATACTGGAATGTTAAAATGTTTATTACTTTACTAAATTAGGAATATTTTGAAGATATTATAATTATGAGCTATACTTTACAGTTTGGTTGAAATGGTAGTTTTTTTGACGTTAGAACAAATCTATGTCGAGTTTATTTTTTATTTCCATAGATTGGATTAGCTGATTAATGATTTTTAATTAATTTTCGATATTTCATATATTCAATGTCAACCAATTAATTTAATTTAAAATAACCACTCAACCCATTATACCCAAGCCAATTAAAGGATATCCAATAAATAAATATTTAGAGCAAATTACATAATCCTTAAAGGAGATATGTAAAAAGACATGACAAACATAATATATTGTAGATCACGTATATCTTATACATACATCCTTCTATAAAGTCGTGTATTTCCCAAACTGAGGGTCTTCTAGTTCTGAGAACGCCGTCTGGCGGGGGGGCAGACGAGGTCTGGTCACGAGACAGAGGCAGAAGAAACACGTGGTCACAGCAAGAAAATAACAACGACCTGGGACTGACGAAGAAACAGACATACACTATCATGAGAAAATATTACTGAACAGCTTCTGATTAAAAGATAAAAGAAATGATGTTTGGATGGAGGAATTAATTTGGACACGTTGGAGTCATATATATATGTATATATATTTTCTACTTATAACATGACTAGATTTCCGCCCGCAGCTTCGCCCGCGTGTAGTTCGGTTGTATCGCGTTTCCAAGAGAACCTTTCAAAAGTCTGGGAAAAACTATCTTATGTTCTTTCTCAAGGTCAACTCCATCTCTGTACCAAATTTCATTAAAATCAGTTCAGTGGTTTAGGCGTGAAAGCGTATTTTCCATTGTTAACGCCCCCGCAACCCCCTTGTGGATGGAATTTCATAAAATCCGTTCTTAGCTGACCTATACACGGCAAAAGGAATAATCCGACCAAATTTCAAGTCGCTACGCCTTATGGTTCCAGAGATATCGTGATGAGTCAATATATAGGTGGAAATCTCTTTTATATATATATATATATATATAAGTAGAATGGCGTCAGTGGTGGCCTAGTGGTTAAAGGGCTCGCCTCTCGTTACCGACGGCGCGGGTTCGATCCTGGCCCGGGCAAGTACCAATGTGATTTTTCCGAGTCATATGTACTTTCTAAGACTAGTTAGACATCACTGATTAATGTTGATTCCCAAAAGAGGGTTGATGTCAGGCAGGAGGCCGGTCGTAAAAACAAATAGCCAAAACTATACACATTACATGTAAGGCAGACCCTGGCTATAGCTGGGAAATTGCCAGGTAGAAGAAGAGAAGATAGATAAGTAGAATATACTAAGTTAATGTTACTATACAAAAACTTATTAGGTTATTTTATATGAAGCAGAGAATCGTTTACCCATTGTCGACATTCTTCTGTCCTTCGTTGTCATTAGTTACATTAATTTCATCGTCTTCTACATGATGCTCTCTTTGATAATACTGACGAGGACCTGTAACGATCAGGGTTAAAGATATCAATTCATAAAAGTTATGTTATATATACGAAAACAGAAAACGTAAACTCTGTAATATACAAAAAGATATTAAAAGTATCTTTATATATATAATTCTTCTGTGAGTGTGTATGTCACTGAACTTCTCTCAAACGACTAGACCGATTTTGATGAAATTTTTTGTGTATTCAAGGGGATCTTGGAATGGTTTAGATTCACAATTTTGTCTGCTGGACAATGTTTTTTTAATTTATTAGTACATACTTGTTGATACAAGTTGATATAAGTAAAGTCCAAAAATATAAATAAAAAAACGTAACAGATATTTCTTGATTATAGGGCGATATAAGTTCGCCCGGTCTTCTAGTATGAATATAAATCACATCAATTAAATTTGTCTAATTTTCATTGGCATTTCAAACAATTTCGTCCCACCAAAATGAATACAGTAAGGTCCAAATTCAACTTTTTTGCCAAGCACTCCAAGAAATGGAAATCTTATCTTCACTGTCTGAAGTAGACATTCTTCAAACAAGTCCCAGATGTAAATGTTCTATAAAAAACAAATGCACAAGATTAAGTACCTATAATTATAATAAATGAATATAATATAGTATATATTACAACAATTTTAAGCGTCCTCCACATTTCTCTAAGGTACCAACATTTTATTGTCCATAACAACTTATTCGAACACTCTGTCGAAATATTACTTTTTTGGTTCGACTCGATATTTTTTAATTAGGAAGTTGGCTTAAGAGGTTTTACCTTGTGATTTTTTTAGTATGCAGACATTGGTTACTCTCCAAATTTTTTGTGTAGATAATTTACGATAAACAAAGTTTGTTTCCTTAGGAATAATAACATACGTAGTAACTATTGTCACAACTACAATTATTGATTTAGTCCAATAACTTTAAACCGACAGAATAAATACATTGTCATATTAAAAAAGAACATTTTGTTATATATCAATATTATACTCACACAATTGTTACAATAAGCGACCACGATTTCTTTTGACGTAACAACTGCCACATCAAGGATGGCACCTGTTCCTGGAGCACAGAGACTCGTGAAGTGACAACCCTGAGGAGTGGACCACAGACGGAGCACACCGTCAGGGCTGCCAGTCACTACGAGATGAAGAGGTGACACCACCACCAGACATGATACACCCTGACGAATAACACTCACTATATATATGAAAGAATACAGAACTACTACGGGGACTGAACTTGTTAATTTTTTTTTGTTATTTACAGGCAGTTAAATTAACCTAAGTAAATATGGAGTAGGCTTCATAATTAACAAGTCGCTTAAAAACAACATAGAAAGCTTTATAGGCCTAACTGATCGTGTGGCAATGCTAAACTTAAAATTCCAAAAGTTTCCATTATCCATTATACAAGTATATGCACCGACGGAATCGGCCAGCGAAGAAGAGATAGAAGAATGTTATGAAACTATCGACAAAGCTATGGAAATAACATATAAAACTACTATAGTAATGGGTGATTTTAACGCGAAGGTTGGCGCTTAATGAGAGGGCGAATACTCAGTACAAGAGCATGGATATGGAACAAGAAATGACTCAGGGCAGAGACTAGTGGACTATGCAACTCAACACAATCTCACTATCATTAATACATGCTTCGAGAAGAACCGAAACCGAAGACGGACGTGGCGTTCCCCTAACGGAAAGAAAAAAAATGAGATTGACTATATATGTACTATCCAACCAGCGTAGAATATTCCAAAATGTTGAAGTCATTGATCTAAACTATCCGTCAGACCGCCGAATGATAAGGGCGTCATTAAAAATAGGCAAACAAAAGCCGAGCAGAGTAAAGGTTACAAACAAAAACACTTTCCAACATAAAAAAAGACGAAATAACAAGATATAATAACAACGTAACGTCAATGAAAGTATAACAGTACAAAACTATTACAATAAAATAGTAATCTCTATCAGTAAAGACACATAGACACCACAGAATACTATCAGACCGCACGGCTTTGTTATTGAAAAGAAGAAAAGAGTTACGATCTATGAAAAATGAGCTTTCTGCTCTCTACAAAGTAACAAACAAATACATAAAAAGAGATTACAATAAGAATAGAAAGGCATTAACAGCAGACTGGAAGCTCGAAGAAGGCCCTTAAGGAACATATAACGAGCAAAACCTGGATAGAAGGACTAGGAAAACAAGGCAGAACTTGTGCAAACGAACTGATATCATCAACGAGGCATCAGACTTATATAGAAAATACAGTGTACAGTGAGGTACTTATACTCTAAGCAATAACGTCCCAAACACCAATGAAGGTAATGATGAAAGTTATATAAAACCAGTGGATGAAATAGAAGCAATAAAAAGTCTGAAATGGGAAAAAAGTATTGAGACTAGCGCACAAAACATAGCCGGGCCACTAGCGGAACTATTACACTTAATACTGCAAAATACTGAAACACCTCAACAGTGGTCTGAATCAGACATCATACGTATCTATATAAAAGGAAACCCGAAGGATATTAGCAACTACAGACCAATAAGTTTGCTTCCGAGCCTCTACAAACTCTTCTCAACCATTATAAACAGAAGAGTAAGCAATACACTGGAATCACAACCAGTCGAGCAAGCAGGCTTCAGAAAAGGATTCTCGACACTTGACCATATACACACACTCGAATTAATTATAGAGAAATACCAAGAACAACAGAGACTGTTATACATAGTTTATATTGATTATCAAAAAGATTTTGACACGGTAAAACACGCAAGTATATGGGACAGCTTAAAACAGAAAGCAGTAGAAGATGTTTATATAAAAGTGATCAAAAGTATATAAAAATAACAAGGGTAGGATCAAGCTACAAACTCTCGGACCGAGTTTTAACATAGAGAGAGGAGTAAGACAGGGCGCCCCTTATCAACAAAACTATTTATAGCCATTCTAGAAGACACCATCAGCAACATAGATTGGAGTAAATCAGGCCTATATATAAATGGTGAATATCTAAGTCACTTGAGATCCGCAGATGACTCAGTCTTGCTCTCAGAATCCAGCACCCAGCTACAACATATGATAGAAACTTTGAATCTAACAAGTACAAAGTAGGATTGGAAATGAATCACAATAATTGGAGTGCCACTTGATTATACAGACTCATACATATATTAGGAAAGCAAATAAGTTTTGATCGGAAAGAAGAATACAACAAACGTGGAATAAATATTGGAGTTTAAAGGAAATTTTTAAAAGTGGCAAACTTTCTATTTCCCTTAAAACAAAAGTAATGAATTCCAATCTCCTACCAAGTTTGACGTATGGCTGCCAGACGTGGAAGTTTACTTCAAAAATAAAAAAACCTAATCACCACCTGTCAAAGAGCACTGGAACGTAGCATGTTAAAAATAAAGAAACTAGACAAAATACGACACACAAAAATAAGTGAAATAACTAAGGCAACAAATGAACTAAACTACGTTCAAAAACTAAAGTGGAAATGGGCTTGGCATGTCACAAGGGTTCCTGCTAAATAAATATGTATACAGCTCAAATATATATAAAAAATATGTACCTAAACTCTATTTAAAAGCAAACAAATGTGGTTCAAAAGTAATAAATAAACGTAGATTTCAACATATAAATATTACATTAAACATGTTTTGGTTAAGAATATAAGTTAGTTCTTAAATTTTGAAAGTTAATCTGTAAAACTAATTAGTAGGAAATAAAAGGCTTTTTATTTTATTTATGTTATATAAATGAAACTAATATTTTTGGAATAAGCTATGTACGTGTGCTTTAGTTTTGTAAAAACTACTTACTACCGAAGTTTCAGCTACTTTTCATCAACCGTGATCACGGGCACCCGAGCATCGAATGTGCATGTGCACGCGTAGTGTATCCGAAAAATATTAGTTTCATTCAAATAAATAAAACTCGCAAAAGCCTTAGATCTCATTACAAGCAATTTTAAATTTTTTGATATAACCATAAGTTTGATGCATTCGTTTAGAAGAGAAATTGAAAACGAATTTTCATATTGGAAAATTCTGTAGAATGCTTATTTTGAGCAGCTTACACAATGTGTAACTATAATTCAATACAACATATTTATGAATTCTTAAAACATGTTACTGAGAAAGTCACTTTTAATTTACATAAGAGCCTATCCTTGCAATAAAAAATGATGACGTCATACCCTCTGAACTTTGTACACATAATCATCTAAGTTTCCTCGCGCGTGTCTCGATCGAACGCTGACAGTAGTATCGTGTGAGCAGGACAGCACGATGTCTCCGTCCCTCTCATACATCACACGACGCACTGACCTCGAGTGGACCTTACGCCAGGTTGATATAGAGACGAAAGTCGTGTGAGGAACAGATGATAACTCCTGGAAAGAGGTTAGAAAGATATTACATATTATGCTTTACCAAAAAAAAGTCAGTTAGCCTAGTGGTTAAAGGATCCGCCTCTCGTTACCGAGGGCGCGGGTTCAAACCTGGCAAGTACCAATGTGAGTTTTCGGAGTCATATATGTACTTTTAAGAGTATTTAGACATCACTGACAGATGAAAGAAAAACATCGTAAGCTTCGTAAGGAAACCTGGACTTTTGTTATATCAAATTATAAGTTTGAAATCACCAACCCGTCTTGCGCAAGCGTGGTGATTAATGCTCTAACCTTCTCCATGTGAGAAAGAGGCTTTGCTCAGCAGTGGGCTCTGATAGGCTGATGATTACCAAGAAACAATATTCTAAGAATGATAAACTTGACTTACCATCCAGAAGTAATAGTTAATATTATCCGGTGACTTTAAATGCAGAAGTGATATTCTTGGTTGAAGGAACCTCATCCTTGTAAGGTCTCCTCTCTCGTTGCCAAATATCAGTTCAGATTCATCTCCAGGGTACAGAAACGGTTTGTAAGCGAGGCACTGGAAAAATATCATCAAATCAAGACTTTATTTATTTATTTATTTACAACATACATATTGAATATTTACAGTTAAAGTGACTATATTATAACATCAGTATATATATACGTCAATGACAAGTGTACATAACATTTACTAACTATAAACAGTGCACGATTAAAAAGTTTACATACTAATTTAAAGATAAAATAAAAATATTACCTAAAAAAACGGCTTGTAGGAGGGCGTTATAAGAACAGGAGGGCCTTCATGGGAACTCATACTTTGAAAGGGATAAAGTACAGTCTATTCAATACGACACCAACTCAATCGAAACACTAGATATCACTATCACTTCGATACACAGCGATTCGTCACGAGCGCGGTGCGCGGGCGTCATCTCGCACGATACTCCATCATAAAGATGGCCGCCCTCGCTACCATCACAATGACGCTTCACTAGGCTAACCTCAGACAGCTAAAAGTCAACCTGACGTATGATTTTTGACGGATGCGCCGTCACGGCCGGACTGACATTCGACCGTCCTCGGGCGGTTCTCGGATCAATGAACTACAGTTGTGTCTATTCCGTTCGGCATCCTGACAAACGACTAGTTACAATCATCAAAATGTGCTATGGTACTTAAGACTTAAGGCGAGCATCTCGTAGCAATTAAGCCAGACGACAACATTCATCTCACCACAATGTTCAAAGCATCCAGAACAAGTCAACCAACTTAAAGGGCTCTGACCCGGACGACTACATTCGTCTTGCCACAATGTTCAAAGCATCCAGAACAAGTCAACCAACTTAAAGGGCTCTGACTCGGACGACTACGTTCGTCTTACCAGAACAAGTCAGCCAACTTAAATGGCTCTAACTCGGACGACTACATTCGTCTTACCAGAACAAGTCAGCCAACTTAAATGGCTCCTGACTCGGACGACTACATTCGTCTTACCAGAACAAGTCAGCCAACTTAAATGGCTCCTGACTCGGACGACTACGTTCGTCTTACCAGAACAAGTCAGCCAACTTAAATGGCTCCTGACTCGGACGACTACGTTCGTCTTACCAGAACAAGTCAGCCAACTTAAATGGCTCCTGACTCGGACGACTACATTCGTCTTACCAGAACAAGTCAGCCAACTTAAATGGCTCCTGACTCGGACGACTACATTCGTCTTACCAGAACAAGTCAGCCAACTTAAATGGCTCCTGACTCGGACGACTACATTCGTCTTACCAGAACAAGTCAGCCAACTTAAATGGCTCCTGACTCGGACGACTACATTCGTTTTACCAGAACAAGTCAGCCAACTTAAATGGCTCTGACTCGGACGACTTCACTCGTCTTACCAGAACAAGTCAGCCAACTTAAATGGCTCTGACTCGGACGACAATATTCGTCTTACCAGAACAAGTCAGCCAACTTAAATGGCTCTGACCTGGACGACAATATTCGTCTGACCACAATCTGCAGAGCATCCAGAACAACTCAGCCAAACTAATGAACGATGATCGAGACTCCAATGAGCTAGCCCCATCATCTCCACTACTTATACTCATGTGAGTGAACGATGACCCGGACATAGACTCCACAGAGCTAGCCCGTCCATCTTCACAACCTGATCAAGCGTCGACCGGACGTGGACTCCATCGAGCCAGCCCCTGCACGCTTTGATCCATCACTACTAGAAACATCGGCCACATCAGCCAGTTCCATCGCCACCTCAAACACACCAACTCAAACTTACACAACTCATTTATGGTTTATCAATGTTGGAGGCCATCAGAGCTACTCAGCTACTCACTTTCATCATCTGACATAGCTTCGTTTCCATTCTCTCCACTCCATGACCCGCCGTCTCGGCCTCCTCATTACTTAGTTCAGTGGATATGTCAACTAACCCTTCAAAGCCTCTGGGTACTGCGCCCAAGTTTTCATGAGAGTATTTTAAAGTGCAATTAGATTCATCGGTATGTTTCAGTTCGTACCTATCGTTGTCTAGAATTTTAGTTATGATAAAAGGTCCCCTAAACTTTCTTTGCAGTTTAGTTTGGTAACATTCGCTACACTTAACAAAAACGTAATCTCCCCGAAAAAAAAAAAAAAAAAGGTTTTACTTGGGCTTTGCCTTTACTAAATTTAACTACTTCCTTTTGATCTGCGTTTTCAGTGTTGAGGGAAGTTTTATTCCGGATATTGTCTAAATCTAATCTCGGCTCGTTTGAATTTTGGGCTATTAATGATATTCCCTAAAGATTGCGCGCGAATGCCAAACATTAGTTCTGTTGGAGTATATCCTGTAACACTACGGCTTGTGTTATTAAGTGCTAGATGACTCTCCCAGATCAGAGTAATTTAGTAAGATGGGGTAAAGGTACCGAAAACACCTGCTATATCTGCGGAAAGGCAGTTGGAACTGCTAAGCATTTGCTAGTGAGATGTAAGGTTCTCCTGGACAGCGGTCAATTCTCGCGTCGTCACTATAGGGTTTTAGAGATCATACGTGAAGCGGTTAGTCTTTCGGTAGCCAGAGCGCAAAGGGAAATAACCACAAACGAGCGATCAATAGGTTTTGTGAGAGAGAGCACCAGGGCTATAAAATCAAACGTCAAGCCTTACTCTATCCTTAAAGCGGCTTCGGATTGGACTATCATGATGGATACGTATGAGAAACAACACAAAATCCCCGAGGATATTTGTGCGTCAGCCTCCAGACCAGACACATTTCTATACTCGCGTATTTTAAAGCGCGTTGTGATGATAGAGCCTACGGTGCCTTGGGAAACCAACATCCCCAAAGACCATGCCATCAAGGTCACTAAGTATTACGAGCTCACCAACGAACTAACTCGAAATAGGTTCGTCCGCGGTAGAGGTGGGAGCGAGAGGCATAACAGCCAAATCTCTCTACAACCTACTAAAAGACTTGGGCCCGTCCAGAACCAACATTAATTCATTCTCGGAACGTACGTCGAAAGCAGCCCTAGCAGGTTCCTTCCAAATTTGGCCAGGTAGGGAGAGGAACTTGGACAGTGGAGGTGAGCGTACAACGCGCGTTAGTTAAGGGGCCCCTTAAACCCACACCTGGGTCGCAAGTCCCAGGCACTGCTGAAGCTCCCCTCCCTGCAACGCGATGGACCCGGCACCCGCACGGTGAATCCATTGAATGCTAAGCGGTTTCGTCCCTTGTACCTCAGGAAGTTTGTCACGCCACGTTTTATGGGTATCGTTTTCTATAATAGTTAGCAGACATTTTTAAAATCTGCATGACCCTTTCTACTTGACCGTTGGCTTTATTTGCCCCTGTTGTTATAAAGTAAAGTTCTATACGAGGTGTTTTACTCAATTCTCTAAAGTCCGCGCTTACAAAGCCCCTTCCCCGATATAACAATTCGCTTGAGAACACCGAAAAGAGAAACAGCTTTTCTCAACGCTTTAATAGTACAACTGGCATCGAGGGATAGAGTATGCTCTTAAAGGACGTACTTGATAACATAATCAATCATTACTGACGCGTATTTCTTTTCTGTCGCTTTTGCCACTTAATGTCCCAGTCATATCTATGTATGTGAATAGTATGCCAATAAAATGTATGCAAATCCGTAGGAGAATTTACATGGCCAAAATAGCAATAACCCCACTGAATAAAATTTGGAGAGATAGGAAAATTATTAATGGAACAAAAATGCATCTGATACGAACGCTTGCCTTCTCTATATTTCTATCTATCTAGCTATCCGATTCTGTATAGTGCAAAGACGTGGACTATGAAAGTCGTTGACAGGCAAAGAATTGATGCCTTAGGAATGTGGTGATGGCGAAGTATGTTACGCATACCTCAAAATATGGTCGGCGCTTATCTAATATCTATTTGCAGCACATACTGGCGTTGATTGGTCAGTTCCCTGACAGAACTACGGACAGCTTTAAACGTCCGCTAGTGATTGAAAAAGTGGACGGTAACCGAACTAGAGGACTAAATCCCAAAAGGTGACTGGACCAAATCCCAGAACACCTAAAAATATCTGCCTGCGTTGCACTCCATCAAGAAACTAAACGTGTCTATCTCAGTATGGATATGGTTGATTTAAGTCCATACAAGGGACTGATGGACGATAGGTTACCAACGACTAACTTTGTTTCGCTCAATTTTTTTCCGATATAGCATATTGTTTCTAACATCGTAGATGTGACTAATTGAATCGGGAAACTTATTATTTAAGAGCTGAGCAACAATATCTTGAACATATGCATCACGTTTTTGTTCTACCGCTAACCACCCTTGATTTACCTCTACAAACTGCACAGACTTATTAACTACTTGAGCCTTGCTTTTGTCGCTCTTGGAAGTGCCCTGCTCAGGGTCATCTATGTACTCTCGGTGTTTTTTTTTTTTTTTTTTTTTTAACTAAGAAGCTTTGAAAGGATTGCCACCCGTGAAAACAATAAAATGATGACCATATAGCTTTTACTTCAAATATTCTTCCGCTCGAACGACTGCCGAGGTCTCAAGTTCATAAGAATGATACTTTTATTCCGTGTCAGTTTTCCGGCGACTGAAATATGAAATAACGTGAGGAACTCCGTTCTTTCATTTAATTAAAATGGTACCGTATCCGTTGGCGCTGGCATTCGTGTGTAATTCTATAGGAGGCTCGCGATCAAATATAGTTAGAATAGACTCCGTGGTAAGTATTTGAACTATCCATTTACGGATATTACCGTGGACTTCTGACCGTTTAATTAAACCCTTTAACTTAGTGAGTAGACATAAGGATCGTACTAGGCGGAAATAGTTCGGTATAAAATTTCTAAAACAAAAGGCTTACTATAAGAATTGGTGTTAATCTCCCTAGAGTCAACATACATTATGTCAGAGTTGTCATTCGTTTTTTTACAATTAGAATGGGGCTTGATAAAGTGTAAAATGATTGTTTCAAAGAGGGCATCCATTTTTATTTTTTTTTTATATCGAACAACCTCTTATAATTTGTAAGGTCTCTCTTAGACTATGTTAGGGTCTAAAGAATTAGGGTCTAAAGAGTTAAGAGGTGCCCTTAATAACAAAATGAGTTATACTTCTTAAAAACATCGATAAGGGCTTTATTATCGTCGCCTTCCAAATAAGTTTTGATACGAGAAAAGTTAAGATTGTCTGAGGTTGAGCACTTATCTGTTTTTGTCGTTTCAGGTTTTGAGAAAATAATGTAGTCACTGTTTATTTCTCCTTTAATTCCCTACTCTACAAGGTCCCGTCCAACAACCACGGATTCAAAAATAATATTCTCTTTAATAATATGAAACAAAAGAGACACTGAAACATTTTGAATTATGACCGGGCTTAAAATTTGTGTATTACAATAAGTCTATAGACGTAGAAACACTAATAATAATTGACTGTTAATGTACACGAAGTATGACTAGAGTATTCAGTACCGAAGCGCAAGGTTGAATGACCTTTATTCGCTAATACGATCTAATATTAAAATCTTACGAAGTGGTGGGTAAGCGTGAAACTCATATCGTCGCCCGTTCGCTTCGACCGTATACTACGCGTTCAGATGCCTTTCAGGGGAACTACTTCATTGCTCAAAGTACACAGAAATTTATTTGAAAAATTTTCAGATACACACACACATTAGTACTACATGAACAAGTACACCCACTACTAAAAAGAAAAGGAACAGTCTCACCAGATGACGTCGTCAACTCCCCTCGGCTCGGCCCATGGTCACACAGATATCTCCTTCACCGGCGAGCCTCAATTACCGGTACCTTTTACGATCAAGACACGACGAGACGTCCTAACCCTTATATCTGCTTCCGTACGATCCAGATTGAACCGGATCAACTACGTCGTCGAAGTTAGTTGAGAAGTTGACATTATTTTCATCGACAAGTTTCTCATTATTTTTTACAAAGTTTAACATAGATGGATGATCACTACTCTCCTCATTTTAAAGCCCTTTCGATCCCACTTCTGATGTAGGAGGGCGTTATAAGAACAGGAGGGCCTTCATGGGAACTCATACTTTGAAAGGGATAAAGTACAGTCTATTCAATACGACACCAACTCAATCGAAACACTAGATATCACTATCACTTCGATACACAGCGATTCGTCACGAGCGCGGTGCGCGGGCGTCATCTCGCACGATACTCCATCATAAAGATGGCCGCCCTCGCTACCATCACAATGACGCTTCACTAGGCTAACCTCAGACAGCTAAAAGTCAACCTGACGTATGATTTTTGACGGATGCGCCGTCAGGCTTAACTTGATAGTCTTAATAGACTCTGTCTCATTACAAATCTATATAAAAATAAACATAATATACAAATATCTCACCGTAGGTATGTGTGTTAGTCCGGTGATGCAAAAAACAGGTTTATGGCTAAGGGTCACCACGTCATAGATTGTCAAACTCCTGTCTGATGAAGATATAACCAGATGTTGAACATCCTGTAAGTGTAAGAATATTATAAAATATAAATATAAAAGGATTTCCGTTGCCAATAGACGTGATATAAACATCAATACAGTGTTGCTCCGAAAAAAAACTTAAAATTAAATACTTATTACCGCGGTCTTAAAAAACAAAACCTGTTTGAGTGATAAACTTGGTGGCACGAAGTGATCAAAGTAATTTTCATTATGTGATTACATTCATCGACAAAAATACAAAGATAAGAAAATACAAAAGAATTTGCAAGTTATAGTAATCGACATATCATCAATATTTAACGAACATTCAATATTATTTACGAATACCTTCAACACTGATCGGAGTTGCCAACGAATAATTTAAATTTCTACCAGGCACTAATATAATATGTATGATAACCTCACCTTCAAATAAACAGCGTCAGTGATCCAACAGTTCTTAACACGTCGTGAAACTCCTGTTCTATGGTAGAACACCTTGGAAAGTTAAACTATGTTTTGATAAGTTTTCTACTTATATTATATAGGCTATTTTATAATTTGAAATATTTGCATCTAAAAATCTGAGCTCACAACAGAGCTTTAAAAATATTGTATTGTATTAATGTAATAGTTTTCATAGACATTAATAAACTAAAGGTGGATAACATTATTAACAAAAAACATCTCCTTAGAAATTGTTTGATTTATTAACTTTATTGGTTAAGTATTAAAACGTATTTTATGTGTTCAAACTCTAAATAAACCCTTATATTTCTCCATTTTATAAATCAAAGTTTACTTTATATTAATATCATCATCATATATATGTATAATAATCACTAACCTCATAAGTGTTCAATAGTTCCATCTGCCCGCTGTACACTCCCACTCTGCCCCCTCGTGTTAATATAACGTAACAGAAGCTGTCCTCTCTTTCAATATTCACTATTTTCACTATCGTCTCTCGCTGGACAATAAAATATTAATTATTAGCTACAACCAACAATAACACGTAAAAATATATGTTTATATACATAATATTCCCTTTATAATCCAATAAATTGCCAAAAAAGTCTATTTCAACATCAAAAATCATATACTAGAAGATCCGGCGAACTTCGTATCGCCCTATAATCAAGAAATATCTGTTATTTTTTTTGAATTTATATTTTTGGAGTTTACCTATTAAAGCCATAAATCTCCGTGTTTTTAAGTGCGACAGAATGATTGACATATTAGTTAGCTGTCAAATGTAATGTCAAAAAAACTTTTATATCGACAACTACTAATAAATTAAAAATTAATTAAAAAAACATTGTCCAGCGGACAAAATTGTGAATCTAAACAATTCCCAGAGCCCCTTCAACACACACAAAAAATTTCCTCAAAATCTGTCCAGTCATTTGAGAGAAGTTCAGTGACATACACACTCACAGAAGAATTATATATATAAAGATAATAGGAACGTTTTGAACTTTCATATACATGAAAAAAAGATGAGCTATAGCTTGTTTGAGCTTATATCTAGTTTACAATGAACGTACCTTGCAATGTTTTAATTTCCTGATCCCACCAGGTAGTAGTTCTTGCCATGTTTCCACTCGTGAGCTGGTAGTGCGAGCTCCAGCAGCCACCAGTCTCCCTACCACTTGTTGCCACCACACGCGACCACCGAACATGGCCAACGAGCGGAACAAGTGACGCGCGTGCACTGAATACTTACGGTGACCTGCCACAAATATAACGAATGACACTAACGAATGGATCATTATATATTGGTTTTACTTAAAAACTGACTTTACAGATGAGGTAAGATTTAATATTCACGGTTTTTATTCACATCTCGTCTGTCCGAGATCACGGTTGTTGAAAAGTAACCGAAACGTCGGGAGTATGTAGTTTAAAATAATAAAAAACGCAAAGTAATGATGAAAATATTAGTATGTTTCTAAAGCGATGATTTTATGAAATATGTATCGATTTTGAAATTCCTTTTAAGTAAATCCTATATAAATGACATAAAATTGAGTTCATCTTTTTTATATTCTTGTTTTTTAAGTACACGTTTTGTAATTATGATATAAGTAACTTATAAAATGTAATAATAACTATAATAACCGAATATTTGTTCGAAGGCGGTCACAAATCCCTTCTCATCTAAACATAGTGTCTCTTGTTGTGTTTTGTTCTCGGTGGCTGTGAATTCAATGCCCTCCTCAGCGGCCGCTGCTCTCATCACCTCTTCAATACGTCTGGTGGTTAAAAAACACATATATATATCATATCTTTATATTGAAACGGGAGGACAATAATTATACACACTTTAGTTTAATCTGGCGTTTATTACTTTTCACACAATCCCGTAGGTACACTGTCAGAGATTCCTCTAGCACTCCGTAACGAGAGAGGTCCTTTCCTTCCAGGGTATCTTCTCTCAATCCCCTGCAATTCCAAAATTAAACGATGTGACGCCACTGACGCTCTCGCTGATTGGTCAAACGCTATGATTGGCTAAGCTCTGTGATTGGCTAAGACAGTTTCGGCGGCATACTGTCATGGCAATACTTCCGCCTGGCTCAGGCGGTGGCTTGGCTGGGCTTGGCATGGCATGGCACTTATGGCATGGCGTTACAGTCGGCCATCCTACAATAATTGCTCCCGCAATGGTTATTAGCTTTCCAGAAGATCAATTAAGTCTTCCGTCTCCAATTGCTCATCGGAACTGCTGGCACTGTCAGATACAGGAGCTACGCTATGATAGGGTCGCAGACTATCGCCAGAGACTAGACCCGTAAAGTTTTTATAACCTCTTAGACCCTTAATGCTTCTAATCCTGTATCTGTCATTACCAATACACTTAATGATAATATAAGGTCAGGAATATAAGTCATCTAGTTTAGTATTAACCTTAGCAGCACTACTTGTAGGAGCTTTCTTCCATAAAACTAGGTCTCCTCTTTTGTAAATATGACAGGCTTTACGTCGTTTATCAAAGTTACGTTTTATCTTAATACTGGCCTTTTTAATACGTTTATTAGCTTTCTCACGCCTTGACTGAATAGATTCAGGTATACGACCTGGTATTGTTACATCACACACAGGCCTAGCACTACGCGCGAACACTAAGTCGTAAGGCTTAATACCCGTGGTATCATTTATGGTATTGTTTATACCCCAAATGATATCAGGCAAACAATTAGACCAGTTATTAGCAGCTTCACTAGGGTCGGTAGCGCGCAATGCATCGAGTATAGTCCTATTTGTTCGTTCGACTTGACCGTTAGCACGCGGGCACGCTATTGCATTAAGTGTATGTTTGAATTGCTTTTCGGAAGCATACTTTTTGAAATACCGGCTTGTAAACGCCTTGCCGTGATCCGTTACTATCCTATCAGGATATCCAAATAATGAGAATATTCTTTTGAGCATTCTAATTGTTTCTATTGAATTAATAGTTCTAGTAGGTTCTGCTATAACGAATTTAGAAAACGCGTCGGTTACTACTAACATATACGCATAACCTTTCTTAGTCTTACAAAATGGGCCTAAATGATCAACATGTATCATTCTAAATGGTTCCGTTGGCTTAGGTATAGGATGAAGTAATCCTTCCTTCCTGTCATATATCCCCTTCCCATAAGCACAATGTAAACAAGAAGTGACATACTTTTTGATAAACCGCGACATTTTAGGAAACCAAAACTCACGTTTTATTAGATCAGTACAGCGCTTTAAACCCACATGACCAATATCATCATGGTGTATTTGGACAATTTTCCACTTCGCAAGTCCGGGAACTACTAACCGATTGCCATTTAGTGTCTTACGGTATAATCTATTATCTAACAACTCATAATTGTTGAGTATCTCGGGCTGAGCCGATCCGTTTTTCAACTGCTCCATGATATTTCTTAGTTTGTCATCCTGATATTGAATCGTATAAAACCAGTCAGCAATTTCGAGACGATTTATATTGACTGTGTCAATAGGATTCCTACTTAAAGCATCAACATGTTTCATGCGTTCGCCGGGTCTATATTCAACGCTAATGTCGTACTCTTGTATCGATAACCACCACCTAGCAATTCGCGGAATGATATCCCGTTTTGTAAGAGTGGCACGAACAGCCGTACAGTCCGTTAATACTTTCACATGTTTGCCTATGACGTACACGCGAAATTTTCGCAATGATTCTACTACCGCTAATGTTTCAAGCTCATAGCTATGATAAATACTTTCTTCTTTAGAGGTTACTCGACTAAAATACATAACTGGGCGCAACGTATTATCTGATTGCAGCTGTAACAAAATACCTGCGACTCCTAACTTGCACGCATCGGTATGTATTTCTGTATGTAGTGTCGGATCATATAATGCTACCACAGGTTTAGAGCATAAACGCTTTTTTAACTCCTTAAAACTACCGTCCTGTTTATCGCTCCATACCCAAGGCACATTTTTTTCTAGTTAGTTCTGTCAGAGGACGAGCTATAATTGCAAATTTGTTTATAAATTTTCGGAAGTAACTACAGAGGCCGATAAATTGGCGTACCTCGTGAACGCTTTTAGGCACAGGGAACTTTGAAACGGCATCTAATTTTGAATCTGAGGGTTGAACACCTTTTGAAGTAATTTCGTGTCCTAAGTAAGTGACTTTGTCTTGAAGAAATGAACATTTTTGCATATTTAGTTTTAAGTTTTCAGATTCGAACTTTCGCAATACTGATTCTAACATTTTTATGCCGCTGTTTATATCAATAGAGGGAAGTAATAAATCGTCTAAGAATGCTAAAATCTCATTCGAGGAGCTGCCATCTGACGTATAACGAATGGAATCGACTATTTTGTTTACGAGACGCATAAAAACCGAGGGTGCATTCGCTAATCCAAAAGGAACACGTAAGTATTCGTAATGACCCTGAGGAGTAATAAAAGCTGTCTTATGGGTGTCTTCGGGAGCTAATAATAATTGATGGTAACTTTGTGCCATATCTAAAATTGTAAAATACTTTTTACCGGCTAATTTAGAAATCTGGTCTTCTATATTAGGGAGAGGATATCTATCTTTTACTGTGACATTATTGAGGGCACGATAGTCGACACATAAACGACTGTCGCCGTTCTTTTTCCTAACTAAAATAACTGGAGCAGCGTAACTCGATTCCGACTCTTTAATGATAGAGGCATCTAGTAGGTCACGAACTTTAGAATTGACAATTTGCTGCTCAGCATGCGATAACCTATAAGGTTGACGATATATTGGCTGTGGAGTCGTAAGTTTTATTTTCATTTCTAACAGTTTTGTGCAACCGAGATCTCTAGTATTTGCCGCAAAAGTGTGCTTAAATCGCAATAGTAATTGTATCAAACTACTATGTTCGACTTCATTTAACTTTCCTACACTAATTTCACTTATAGGTACTCTTCCTATGATTAAACTAGAAAGATCGTCTGTATTCAAAATAGGAGCTATAGATTTTGATTCAGGTGAGCTTTTGGCTATTTGGCATGATTTTAAGTAAATTTGTTAATGGTTTGGCTTGGCTTACTCGAGTTGGCTGGTTGGCTACTTCATGACAGCTCGGCACGCGCTAGAACCCAGTTGAAGTCCCCTGTACCACTGTTTACCACCTTCATGTAACCCTCTCCGCCTTGAAGCAACGTTGCCGGTAGAGAATATGAGACACCATGGAGTTCGTAGTGGCGTGGTGTGGTGCAAACTTCATTTCCATCTCCATTACCGACCACCCTAACCTTAATGATGGAGGCACCAGGCGGTAAAGACTCCTTGTTCAATGTAGTAACCATAAATTTATTCTTGTCTTCGACGACATCGAATTCTGGCGAGACATCTGTTTTCCGAGTCAATGTGGCTCTCCCATTAGTGACTACTAACGATACATGTTCTGCATTGATAACGGGTTGGCCAATCAGTAGGTGACATATCTCGCATGTCGGCCTCCGTCACATGTGCCGTGCATTGTATGTGAATATTATCAATTTCTAACTCAAATTCTACTACTCCACGACTAGTCAAAAAATCACCTGAAAAGCTTTTGAGCCGTGTACTTGTAGGTGTAACATCGAGCGACAAGAGACTCACCATCTGGGCATTTATAACGTTAACTTGGCTTCCGGTGTCAATGTAAGACTTAATATAAATTCCATTCACCTTTGCTACCTTTTTGTAGATTTCGTTGTAGTTTTGCACCATTCTAACCTCTTTAATGTTGTCATTTGATTCCATAGAACGTCTGGAGTTGCTAGCCGAAGTGCCGGAGCAGCGAGTGGCGATGTGTCCTTGTTGACCACATTTAAAACAAATACGTTGATCCGGTAATGTACAGTTGCGCAACATGTGGTCGGTCTTCTTACAACGGGGGCAAGGATCAATTTCAGGATTGACTTTTTTATCCGAACTCGACGATTGTTTCGTGTCTTTGGTCATCATCCGAGGTTCAAATGTGGGAGAATGATAATCATCAAGAGCACAGAGGAAAGATTCATATAACTCATCAGGACGTTGGCATTGAAACGCTCGGGCATTCGGTTGTAGGTATATGGGTAAGCCTCTGATGATACACGATACACTAGCACTATCAGATAAATGGCAACGGAAGCACATAGCAATTTTGTCTTGATAATATTTGGTCATCGTCTCGTTTGGTAGCTTCTTTCTTTGCATCATTTCGTTTAATAGTAGGCTAAAGTCGCGATGTTTTGGAAAGGCTCGTACCAGCATATGTTTCCATTCGGCCCAGGAGTAATCGTAGTTTTCAAGTCTGTTGTACCATTTGCGAGCTTGACCACGTAATTTATCCTGCAGGTAAAAAGCTTTGATTTTCTCGTCCCACCCATGTATGTCTCCTAATTGATCAATCTTCTTTAACCACGAAGTTACGGTGCAATCTTCACCATCGGGATCAAACTCGGGAATAAGGGATGCTGCACGATGACTCTTGACGTGGTTGAACGAAGTAGTGTCGTCATTAAGGTTGTAAATTGCTTTTTCGACTTCATTTTCTAACAATGACTTCAATATTTTTCTTGCAGGTGGAAGTGAATTATTTTCTTCCTCGTCACTATCGTCTTGATTTTCGCTCCATCCTGGAGGGCGGACACCACACCCAGCTTCGTTAGGACGACTGCGCTTCATATCCCACTTCTGAGTGAAACGGGAGGACAATAATTATACACACTTTAGTTTAATCTGGCGTTTATTACTTTTCACACAATCCCGTAGGTACACTGTCAGAGATTCCTCTAGCACTCCGTAACGAGAGAGGTCCTTTCCTTCCAGGGTATCTTCTCTCAATCCCCTGCAATTCCAAAATTAAACGATGTGACGCCACTGACGCTCTCGCTGATTGGTCAAACGCTATGATTGGCTAAGCTCTGTGATTGGCTAAGACAGTTTCGGCGGCATACTGTCATGGCAATACTTCCGCCTGGCTCAGGCGGTGGCTTGGCTGGGCTTGGCTGGGCTTGGCATGGCATGGCACTTATGGCATGGCGTTACAATATATATAATTTTTCTGTGAGTGTGTATGTCACTGAACTTCTCTCAAACGACTGGACCGATTTTGATGATGTTTTTTGTGTGTGTTCAAGGGGATCTTGGAATGGTTTAGATTCACAGTATTGTCCGCTGGACAATGTTTTTTTAATTTATTAGTACATAGTTGTTGATACAAAGGTTTTTTTTACATTAGATTTGACAACTAACTAATATGTCAATCATTCTGTCGCACTTCAAAACACGGAGATTTATGGCTTTAATAGGTAAACTCCAACAATATAAATAATAAAACGTAACAGATATTTCTTGATTATAGAGCGATACGAAGTTCGCCGGGTCTTCTAGTACATATATATATGAAATAAAGTCATTTTAGTTACAATATGTATAACTCAAGAACAGCTGTATTGATTTGGATGAAAATTGGTGGAGAGATAGATTAGAACCAGAAAAAGGACAAGATACTTTTCATCCGATCGAAAAAGAGAAATAAGTTGATAAAATCCAAAATATAATATTAACTGCCTTTAAGTAGAAATAGAGTTCGCCCGGTCAGATATACATTTATAATTTTGAATATCGCAGACGAAGATGCTGTCAAGAACTAGTTATGTATAAAGGTTTTTGAAAACCTTCACATTGAAATATTAAATAAAAAACTTATTTTTTCCATTCCAGTATTATGAGATCAATAGAAAAGAAGTTTTCCTCTATAAATATTATTCACTTGAATGACTTTTTGTTATGCTTAAACTTTTTATAGGACGGTTTCATGAAAATATTACATTTTTATAAATGTATTAACGTCGTGAGTTCTTGAGTCACAAGTACCTAACAAAATACTAAAAAAACTTGTGTAATTTTTGAATACTTTGAGAAAAATTATAAGATAATCAAGTTCATTGTTAAGAGATTAATTGTATTTCATAGAATTGTAATTATTTTGTTTAACAACTAAAATTTAGTTCAAAAAACAGAATGCTAGTATAATATACATATAAATAGCTATCACCCACTTATCAACATCTTTCCCGTTCCTTTCCTTCGCTTTCTTGAAGTATCTCCTCAGTTTACTCAGAACCGCCGGAGTTAACTTCATCAGCAACTCTCTTGATAAGGAATCTTCATCTTCGTCACTGTTAAACAATATTATCAATTATAAGTATAATATTATTAGCAACCCTCCTCTTTGATTTATTGAAATGTCCTCTAAATAATAATATTTTAAAATTGCTCCTTCTATTGCTCGTGAACCGTGTGAATAGGCGAAGCTCTGTAAATTCGGTAGCGTGAGTCATTTTATAATCACACTAGCTTTCCGCCCGCAGCTTCGTCCGTGGAGTTTGGTTATATCGCGTTTCCAAGAGAACCTTTCAATAGTCTGGGATAAAAACTATCCTATGTTCCTTCTCAAGGCCGACTATATCTCTGTACCAAATTCCATTAAAATCAGTTCAGTGGTTTAGGCGTGAAAGCGTAACAGACAAACAGACAGAGTTACTTTCGCATTTATAATATTAGTAGGGATTGTTACATTCGGTGAAGTATCAATCATCATTGTGTATTAGTATCACTTAAAACTTATTACTTTAGAAATTTGTAAGATTATTATATTATTAGTTTGTAATTAGTATATTTTTAGCTATTTATTCTTCCGAACCTAAAAATATTATATGTGGTCGAATATTTTTCTTTTCAATCGACTAAAATTCAACAAAACGGTGATATAGTATATAAAGTGATAATATACTGTAACATACTAATAACCAATTTATATTTCATTTCAAGCTACATACCATGTTGAACTTTCTTCTGAAGCACTTCTCACTGAATAACTCTTTTCAAATATTTCCGAGCATTCGTCGTTTAGAGATTTTTGAGATTTAATAGACATTTTATTAGATTTTAAAATTTCCCTTCAGTTGACCTTTGAAACTGTAATATTTAGTTTCAAATGAATCTCTATGAACGCTAAGTTTGTTTTGTCAATACAACATAATCCATTACTATAGTAGCATGTTTTATGAAAAGCGCCATCTAGTTAGTGGATATGGTACTTCGTATGTTTTAATATAAATTTACTAGCTGCCCGGCGGACTTCGTATCGCCCTATAATCAAGAAATATCTGTTACCTTTTTATCTCAATGAAGATAATTTCCTTATTCTTCAATGGAGTTTTGCCTGGTTCAATCTGATAAACATTAATCACTCAGTAGTCAGTTTCCACTTTTACATACATATCAACAGCGTATTGGTGACAGAGACGCTAACATATTAAGATGTGATTGACCTCAACTTCTCCAACCATAAGCCTGTAATTTAATAATAATTCATTTAATTAACTTTTATGTTGCTTCCAGAACCTAAAAACAGTTTTTTGTGATAAAATTATACAAATTACTTAAAGCTATGATAAACATTAATAACTTAAATTTTTTATTTCCATGTAACTAACTGGATTTATCATTTTCATTAAAAATAATACCCATCTTCACCTTTCCAAACTAAGATAAAATATATTTATATATGTTCGATGTGTTTCGGATACACGCTGCAGTTGATTGTTACACCGGTGTAAAACAATATTGTCATCATCCACATTTTCACCCACAATGACAATAGCGACTTCATCGATTCTTTGGGCATTAAAATGTCTCATGTGTTTGATAACAATTTTGTGATTATCAGATGGCATGTGATCTAATGCGGTCTTGAATAATGCAACCAGTGGGTTGTGTTGATGGAATAACAATTGGAACTGTTCCACAACTGGTCTTTTCACAGAATTGTTGTGTGCACAACGCTGATCAACTTGTCTTCCTGAATCGCCCATGAAATAAATTAGGAAAAATTTATAGTGACTCACTGACCGGCACTGGTAATAACTAATAAGTTCAGTGATATATTTGTCCTTGAATCTGCAAAGATAAACAGGAATATTACATATACATATTGTAAAGTGAATTGTTCAAACCACCAAGTGACACTCAAAATACTTTGTGAGCACTACCATTTCCCTATCAACTTTTTAACACAATTCCTTCTGGCTACTAAAAGTAATTCACAGAGCTACAAATGTACTTTAAGCCATTTCAAATGATACACCATTGCAATTGAAAACAGTCAACAATAGTGGTAAATGTTTTTCAATACACTTACCTTAAAAGTTGGCATAAAATATATTGTACTGTTGTCCATTTCTCATTTCAGTTATAATCAAATGTAGCTCTATAGGGGTTAAAAGCAACACTTCTTTACTTTTGGTTTCGGTTCCATCGATTCCGTTCAATCCGCGTTTCACGTTGCTCATCAGTTAGACTTGCTCTTCTATTTCTTTGACTTGAGGCATTACGGGTTCTGCGATTTAAGTTTGTACGTCTAATTGCCGGCATGTTTTGAAACAAAAATTCAACTGAAAATAAAAAATACTATTATTCTATTCCTATTCTTTTGTAATAGTATCAAAATGGTCTATCAAAATTCAAAACTTTTCAACACTATAATAATTTGAATTACCTTGTTGAAAAAAAAACACAGTACAAATTATCCTGTAGAAACCAGGTGAAAATTACACTAAGGAATGGTAAATGAAATATGTAGGTATTTTTTTATAATAACTGCGGCCATAAAGAGTAAAACTGAATATGTACTGGTACAAAACGACGCAAAAAAAAAAAAACAAATTTAGTGTTTGCAAACAATTTGAAAGAATAACTGAACTTTTAAGACACATTTTTTTTTTTGGTTATGTTCGTTCCGTTCAGAACAGGCAAAGAGAACAAAGCCCATACAGCCATGTCTTTTGTATTTTGTATCTTTAATTATTTTTAAAAGTCTTAATATCCTTTTTTATTCTTATATCAAGTTTTTATATAAGGCCTAAGCCATGTCTTCTTGTAATTTTCTTCTTAAAACATTTTTTTAATTTTAAGGCCGAAGCCATGTCTTCTTTTAATTTTTCTTCTTGAATCCTTTTCTAATTATAAGTCCGAAACCATGTTTTTATTTAAAATATTTTTTTTTGTCAAATTCTTGTTTTTTTTACATTCCGTCTTTTTCAATGTCAAGTCCTTGTAATGTCATTTTTAGTACAATAATTAATTTGTCAAAATCGATATAACAGTCAAATTCTGAAAATAGCTGAAAGCAAATATCTAAAACAAAACGAATAAATTTGTATTATATACATATGTACAAATAACAATTAGATTTCATTTATAGTAGAAACAATAAAGCCATAAACTGGCAAGAAGCATTCTTGAATGCTTAGTATTTGCTGAAGGGAGCGCGGGATATCTTCAGCAGTTTTAAAAATACTTAAAAGTTGGTCTACAAGGACCATCCTTTGAATACTAAACTGTGGACAATCAAAAAATATATGTTCGAGGGTTTCATCAGCACTATTGCAATATCTACAAGTTGAAGAGTGAAAAACACCAATCCTAAAAAGGTGAGCACCAAAACGACAATGTCCCAGACGCAAACGACAGATTGTGGTATAATACTTTCTATGGCTATAGTCATTACCCCGGGTAAACCAGGGGAAGAGACCTTTTTCTTTATTGTAGTGAACCATTTTCCTTTTACCTTTACCACCTGATGCCATAAGTTGTAAAATTCTTTCTGTAACTTGAGTTTGAAGAGGGATAGAGCGTCTGTATAAGGAATTGGGAAATTTAAAAAGTTATGACTTAATTGATTGTGGGCTGGATTTGTAATAAATTTAGCTAAATAGTCTGCTTGCTCATTACCATGCACACCAATGTGGGCTGGTGTCCAGAATAGGACTATTTGATTGTTTTGAGACAGCAGGTGATACAACTCTCTTATTTTATATATAATATAGTTAGTTTTTGAATTTAATTGTGGATTTTGTAGTGCTGTTAATAAACTTAAACTATCTGTTATTATAATCCACTTTGGATGAGTCTGTGTTGTAATGTGCTCCATAGCAGTATACACAGCTATGTATTCAGCGGAGAAATGCTTGTGAGTGGATTCAGCCTATGACCGAATGCACTTTTGACCTGACTATTATAGACAGCTATAGAGACTGCTTCATTGTTCCTAGACCCATCTGCATATATCTGATGATATCCCTGCCACCTATCAAGTTCCCTATAAATGTCTTCGTTATACTTTAGAAGACGTTTGACTACAATTTTAATCTGCATAAATTTTGATTCATATAACCCAGAGTAACAAGGCCACACCATGCTAGAAAATATATTATGTTTATTAAAAATTTGTTCTGTTTCAGAAAAACCTTGAAACAAATATGAATTAATATTGGCAGTCCTGTTAATAGTGTCTCGCAGTTTAACAAGAAGTGGATGTTTACTAATGGAGAGCAATCTTGCATAAAATTTTGATTGTAAGTATTTAAACCTAAGTGCTAATGGAGGTATATTACATTCCATCTGCATTGACACTATGGGAGTAGTTCGCATGGCACCCATTATAATACGCAAACATTTGTTTTGTATCTTTTCTGATTGTCTACTATAGTTCTTACCCCTGCAAAACAAAAAAAAGCATATTCAAAATGACTCCTTACTAATGATTTATACAATGTTAATAGAATCCTTGGATCAGCACCCCAATATGTGCCTGTAAAGATTTTAAAACATTACAAGCATTTAAAGCTCGCGATTTTAGAGTTTCAGCATACTTATTCCATCTAAAATTGTTTGTAAAAATAACACCTAAAAACTTTCAGAGCTTTCTACAAACACCAACTATGTAGTACTTTATTCTCGGAACGAGCATCGTGGATATCCAGACAGAAATGACATAGACTCTCACAAGCAGAACGACCACAATGAAAGCCAAACTGATTGTAAGGTATCTGATTATTACTTTCTATGTCAAAAATTAATCTCTGTTTTATTAATTGTTCGAAAATTTTTCCAACACATGAACTCAGTGTAACAGCGTGATAAGAATTAGCCAAATTAAAGTCTTTGCCAGACGTTTTAATATTGGTACCAAACAGTCAGTTTTCCAATCCTCTTGGATAATAGAAGACGACCATAAACTATTTAATAAATTTAAAAAAATAGATAGAGTTTGAACATTTAAAAGTTTAAACATTCTGTAGGAAAGCCAATCCAGGCCACATGAAGAATCTTTTCTTGAGGCTAAAGCAAATTTTAACTATTGCATAGTAAAACAACCGATCATGTATGAATTATCACTATTTACTCCAAGAACATTATCTATACTTATCTGTTGTGAAACAGTATCCGGTGTGTATTTATATAAAAATGTTTGAACCCAATTGAGGTCAGAAAATAAGTTAGAACTCGGAAAGCTTTTTTTGAATTTTCTTATTTTAGTCCAAATGCGATTTATAGATGTCAAACGATTTATTGATGAGCAGAATTCAGACCAACTTTTACAACGTTCTTAATGTAATTTTTACTATTAAGACTAGTTTTGAAATTAATGTAGGCGTTCTATCAGTCTTCTACTACTTTTGAACATTTATCATTCCACCAAGGTACTTGGCACCTTTTTCTAGGATGGTTATTATTACTATCAGTTGTGTTATGGTTTAAGCTGGGCCCGGAGAATTTGATTGCCAATAGAATAATTGCACAAAACTTTCAGTATGAGTCAAGGAGATCACTATTGTCAACTTTAAAGTTCATTATATTAACAATTTGTTCATAACTATCCTAATTTATTATTTTCAGATTGCTGTGAAAAGGAATGTTGTTCAAGGGAATAGAGGGTTCATGTTGATCTCTTACGAGAGTAAATTTTGTGATAGTTGGCAGATGATAACTGCCTAAAGGGTCCTGATGAAATTGCCAGTCACAAGAAAGAAATAAAGAAGAAGACACCATAGTTAAATCTAAACTGTTTGGTTTCCAAATATGAGAGACTAT